ACTTCTAAAATTCAGTTACAAAAAAATTGAAATGTCAAGGAGCCTCAGGTGTTTTATCATTACAATGATTAATAAAATTACAGACTTTGTTTAGAGTGCTTAATATGAAATTAATGTACTTCTTCTGTGTGTATGCATGGAGGTTGAAGTTTTCATTTGTCTTTTCAAACAATTAAGGCAATTTTAGCATGTTGCAGTTCTCAAGTGTTTGCTTCAAAATTCAGGAAAACTGAGTCGATGATTATCTGTAATTCATGGATGAAATTTGGAGGTGTGGTTTAAGGGTTATCTGGAATCACAAAAAAGAGGCTTGTGGACTGCAGGTTGCTCTTGGAAGCCTGTGCTGTAGGACTTCCAGAGAAGACTCACTTGACAACAGTTGCAGCATGAAGAGAAGTAGACTGTCTCTATGAATTTCCTCTGCAGGCAAGGAAAGGACTTGAGATCACTCACGTATTCCATACAATTGCCCCTCATGAGGACATCATAACACAGTAATCTGTGGTAGCATTAGAGCTGTGGGAGACAAGGGAATAACTATTTCTTCCCCCAAACTGCAGTCATTCCCTTCACAAAGACACTAAGTTTGAATAATTCCTGTTCTAACCACTTTTGGAAATTGTTAGTTGCTTTTCAGTTATTAAGAATATTTGAATCAACACACTTTATAGCACTGGATGAGTTTTCTTCATTATGTAGCAGAAGAAGTTTTTAATTTTTTTTTCTGTTGAAGTAAACAGCAAAAGAGTAATTAGACTTCGATTTTGGAATGTTGCCTCTAAATTAAGGGTCCAGATGGATTTGAAATAAGATTCCGTAATTAGTTATAAGAATCTTTCCCATCAGAAAATACTTTTGTTTTGAATTCTGTTTTTTAAAAATGGATAGGATGAAACTTTGAAGGTTGGATACTAAAGGAATCTAGAAAGAACAAAGATTACAATTAAAGGAAAAGAACACTTAAATTTGCCTTATTAATATAGAATGGGGCAAAATATTTAACATTGTACACACTGAAGGATATTTTTGATCAATGGACTCAGAAGTTAATTTTAAAAATGCCTGCCTCTATAGAATGAGGGTGTTAAAAAGTTGCTGTGAGTTTTACAAGTTTTATGAGGCAAGAATGAAATTGATCTGAAAGTGATTTAAAAATTATGAGTACAAGAATTATATGGAAAAAGATGCTGCACTGAACATGCAAATGAAAGTAGCTGATGTCTTAACAATTAAAAGAGATTTACAAATAACAAATCAAGAGTGGTCTAATGATTAAGGCACTAGGCTAGAAAGCAAGGGATCATGAGTTCAAATCCACCTTAACTATGAAAGCCAGTTGGGTGACCTTGGGCCAATTCTCTCTCAGCCCAGTGCACCTCACAAAGTTGTTGTTGTGGGGAAAACAGGAAGAGAATGTCTATTGGATATGTTTGCTGCTTTGAGTTGCTTATGTAAATAAATAAAACTTCTCTATAGTGGATTTACAAAAGAGACTTGTTAAAGGATGGAAGGCTGAGTTGAGCTTGAGCTGGTCACATTTGAGCTCCTGGCTAGGGGTAGAGTCAGCCTGCAATACTGCATTCTATGGCTGTGCCATCAAGGCTCCTGAAAAAATCATGAAAAAAATCAAATTCTTAGGACATTATTTGAAAGAATTAAGATTATTAGAAGTCAAAGGAGGAAATATAAAGTTGATTAAGATTAAAATAGATATATTATTACATCTTATAACCCTTAATGGGCACTTGCTGATCGGGATTGAATAATGAGGTTTTAAGGATTTGTTTATAAATAAGAGATGGGATAAAGGAAGAAGAGTTCTATTTTAAGATAAGGTGATATGTTACTAAATTTGTTTATGCTTGTGATGAAGGGTGAAGTCATTTCTTTACAAATTTCATTTTCTTTACTATTTTTCTTTTCTGTTTTTCTTTTCTATACCTTTTATTTTCTATTTTAGTTAGTTCACTTTATTGTCATTGCACCAACGAAATTAAATGCCATCTTCAGTATGCATTATAACTATAAAAATAAAACTCAAACACACATCCTTCTCATTCTATATAATTGAACTGAAAACCCGATATTGCATTAATATTGCACTATACAGTAGAATTCAATTTAGTTACTGCTCTGGGATAGAAGCTGTTTTTCAGCCTATTATCCTGTACCGTCTGCCAGATGGTAATAGTTCAAAAAAGGGGTTCCCAGGATGAGATGGATCTTTAAGAATGTTTTGAACTTTCTTAAGGCAGAGGGAGCTATAAAGCTCTTTCAAAGAGGGAAGTGGGCAACCAATGATCCTCTGGGCCAGTGGTCACCAACCAGCGGGCCAGGAACCACTGGTGGTCCATGAGAACATTTTGGTGGTCCGCAGAGAAATGTCACCCCCAAAGCAATTAATCCAGGCTGCTCAGAAACACAAGGCTGTGCCGCCCACATGGCTCACGGGAACACAAGGCTCGCGTCGCTTGCATTGTGCACAACACGAAGTAGTGAGGGGAGGGGGGAAAGGGCGGAGGTGGGGGGACTTGCCCCACACGCCTCACCTGGCCACCGGGCTGCTTCTTTCCACTTCTTTCTTCTACTTTTGGCTGCACGCAAGGAAAGCAGCAAAAGTCTTCCTTTCTCTCCCCCAAACTCCGCCAGAAATGAGTCTTTGGGAACCTGCAAGGCATCCTGCTCCAAGAGGCTGCGCCAGTGCGACAAGTCTCACAAAGACTCATTTCTGGTGGAGTTTGGGGGAGAGAAAGAAAGACTTCTGCTGCTTTCCTTGCATGAAGCCAAAAGTCAGTCTCTCTCTCTCCCCCTCCCTCCCTCCCCCTGAGAACAGAGCTGGAGATGGTATCCTGCGATCCCAGGTAAAGAATGATAGATCGGAGGAAAATGGGATGGGGAATTTTCCTGCAGACTTTTGGGGGGATTTTCCCAGGGTCTCTGGTCCATGGGATTTAAAATTATGAGTTTAGTGTCCCTGAGGTCCAAAAGGTTGGCGACCCCTGCTCTGGGCAATGATGTTAACCCTCTGGAGTGCTGTCCTATTTGCCACTGTGCAGTTGGCAAACCATACATAGGTGCAGTAAGTTAAAATACTCTCTATGGTGCAGTGGTAGAAGGTCACCAGCAGTTTTTCATTCAGGTGTTGTTTTCTGAGAAGTCTCAGGTAGTGTAATCTCTGCTGGGTCCTTTTGAGCAGTCCTGCAATGTGAGTGCCCCAGGTCAAGTCCTCTTTTATGATAATACCGAGAAACTTAAAACTGGCCACTTTTCTTTTTTTTTAGTTTGTATTTTTATTTTTAATTATACTTTTTAATAATATTACTATTAAAAGTTTGTACTATAATTATTTCCTTTCTCAAATTCTACAATCAACAGTACGGCTGGAGATTTGTTAGATGTAGGTAATCTGTGTGGCCTTAAGTGGGTTAATTTTGAACATCGTTTTTCTTCACTAGGCATTATAAAATCACTTTCATAAAATATAGGACTATACCGACACACATTGTTTTTGAAATCTATAATATACTAAGTAGGTATTATTAGATATTGGGAACAAATTGTTTTCACATATTAAAATTCTGTTGGTGGGATTTCATTGTCTTTCAGGCTCTGGTTTGATGAATTTCTAGGCCTTTGGGTTTCAGTTCAAAATCTTCCACAATGGGAAGGGGTAAGTAAGGTGCCCAACCTATTTTCCCCACTTCTTTTTACTACAAAGATATGTAGATAATTGGACTAGAAATAATGGTGCCTTGAAAGATTGACATAATTTTAAAATTTTAATCTTCTATTAGTTGTACAATTATAGGTTTTGGCTATTAATTGTCATGCTGTGCAGGAGTTCTTTTTTGAATGCTAGAGTTCCTTTAGACTGAAAATCCAAACCCGACCCTAATTATTATAACTTATAAATCTCTCAAATCACACCAATATATATTATATCTGCATGGATATTGTGCAGGTACAATATTATTTATCATTATCTTTATAATGACAACAATGATTTATATCCATAATATGGTCATAATGGCCATCTTGGACAGTTTTGCCTTTATAATGTCATAATCTTATAATTTACATTTTTTAAATCTTAAATTAATTTCAATATTTTAATGTTAGTTTTATACATGGTTTTATATGTTGATTATATTGAAAACTTCCCAGAGCCTGTCTTCGAGGGAGATGGATGGATTAGAAACATGTAATATAAATAAACAAATAAATCTGTAATAATAAATAATAAACATTTACTTCTTGATTTATGACTGTAATTTTGCCCAGAATTACATTCATAAGTCATTGCAGTCAATAAGCAGGTCATCACATGACCAGATCTAATTTTATTACAATTTTGTGGCAGTCGTTAAGCAAGCAATTTTGTGAACAATCTGTGGCTTTCTTGATTTTGCAGAATGGTAGCTCCCCACAGCTTCAAGTCAGGATTCAGCAAGCAGTTGAAAGCCACATGTTCATCATCTTAAGTATATTATCTCTGTCCCAGTTTTACTATTTTAATTTCCAATAAACCAAAAGCTCTTCTCCAGAATAGTTTAGACAGGATCCATGTGTGGGGATGCATTCAGCTCTGTTTGGCTGTTTATCATCTTAAATATATTATCTCTGTCCCAGTTTTACTATTTTAATTTCCAATAAACCAAAAGGTCTTCTCAGTCCTGTTTATGCATCTCAATATTATAGTTATTCCTTTTTTCTTTTTATTAACTCACGTCTTACCTGCTATCCTTTTCAATATCTGAGTGATAATCTGGGGCCACTGTTGTTCTTTTTGGCTCCATTTCTTCTCTGAAGGAAACCAGTTTGCCAATTTTACGGGAATGTCTTTGGTTCAGACACTCACCTTTTTTATAAGTCTGTATAAAAACATGAAAAATACTTATTTGATTTACTGTACTGTTTACTTGTAAAATGTTCGTGTTATTTCTGTCCATCTGTTCATTGTTCAAATTCTCCTTGCAACTTTTGTAGCTATTAATTTTCTTATGGTCACTGCTTTGCAGCTTCTCAGCTGCTTTATGATCCCATGGTGCATGATAAATAATCTGATCTACGTCTTGAAGAAAACTACAGAAAAAAGCAGGAATAAACCTTAATACTACACTGAGTGTTGATGTTGTATCCTGAAAATGTGGTCTGTGCTTTTTTCTCTCTAGCATCTGGTCAACCTTTTTGCACGTTTGGCCACTGATAACATAGGATACATCAACTGGGATCCCTATATTCCAAAGGTAATATTTAATATGAAAATACTACAAATATTAATGTGGCAAGTGCTTTCCTTGTCAATAAAACATGCAGTTTTAATTCATTCTATATGTGTCTCTATCTGTCTCTTTCTCTCATTATTTTATTTCTGAATATAAAAATTGTGTACCCTAACTTTACATTTAAAATCATTTATCTTTGTCAACATAGTTGGAAAGCTGTAATATATAAATTTTTGAGATTAATGTTAAACTTTTTTATTACAAGGGCTGAATTTTTTATTCTGTCTTGCTCTATTAAATTTCTCTTAACTATGTTTTAGTCTTTACTATATTTTAAGGATTTTTGTTTATATATAAAAATATAAGCAAGAGTGTTATTTCTACTAATCTATTCCTTTTAAAGTATGGTAAACAAAATTATCACACTGGGGCCTTGGATTTTAATCTACCATCATGATATTTGCTGGGATTCCTGTTTCTTGCTATAAAGAATAAAACTTTTAAAGAATTAATTCCCAGCTGCAGGAATGTGATTGTAATGGGGAAAACAGTAACGTGTTATTTTTATAATTTTTTTAGCAGCTATGGCATCTGTCATGTTTTATAATTTAATTTCTGTAAACTGAAGCTAATTTATCCCTTAATTACAGCATTTTGTTGCAGTTTTAAAACTCATTGGGACTATGATTAGCTTCTCTTCTCTCTCTGAACAATAATATTGAGAGCTGGGTCATCAGATTTAGTGTCCAGAGAAGAAACTGATTTTGCAACGAATACTTGATTCACTTAGAAGAAACTATGTAGTCGGCTAATTGAATTTCTTTAGTAAGTTATGTAGATGCTTTCCAGATGTTTTTGGCATGCATTCATGCCTGTCAACAATTTGTCAAGATGTGAAAGTGGCTGCCTTGCAATAGCAATTGTGCATGAACAAAGAGACATCTCAATATAGATTGCTAAAGCCGAAATTTCAGTTTTCCATCATATGAATTTAATGTGGAGAGTTTCCCGTTAGTTCTGTGCCAGCAGCAATGCCTTTCTTTTAATCAAGAAAGGTTTATAAATTGAGTATTTTGGAGATTGGATTTTGAATGTGGAGGGTTTCAGTAGTGTGATTAATTTTATGACAAAATTGAAATAGACACAATATAGTTTTGTTGTTTAATTTTCCAATGTCCTTTTCTGCAGATATTTACTAGAATACTGCGTAGCTTGAATCTTCCAGTAGGAAGTAATCAGATGATGGTTCCACGATTCCTAACAAATGCTTATGACATAGGGCATGCAGTTATGTGGATCACAGCTATGATGGTAATATCTTTTTCTTTTTCTTAAGAACATTGAGGAAGCTGTATAGTTATGTAGAGATGTAAATAAGTCAATTTATTTGATTTTTAAATTAATTACTACTTTAATGAACATCATATTCATGAAAATAAGCCAGTGTTCAGATGGATAATTTATTTTTAAAAAGTCTGAATTACAATATTTGGAACTATCTCTCTACTGTACACAAAATAGCAATAACTGCTTTACAGGAAGCATATGTCCTCAGGATAGTTCATAAAGACCTCCAGAAGAAAAGATGGAATATCTCTGCCCCTTCAGTTTTCAATGTTGAATGTCCCTTCAGTATCCAAAAGAGAGCTTTAGAAGAAATGATCAGCAAACCTTAATCACATTTTGACTATAATTTGGTAGTATGTGGAAGGCAGATAAATTATTCTGTATTAGTATGGGGAGGGCAGATAAATTACTCTGACAACTTGTTAGTTAAATATTATTGGATAATTGAATTTCAGCTGCTTAGCTATGTGGCTGTTGTTTTCTGTTGTAGATAAATAATTGTGAGACCATGGCCTTTATCCCCTTATCTGCATATGCATATTATTTAAAAATACAGATTTGTCTTCACTTATTTGTTCAGTAACTGTTCAAAAGTATGATAATGCTGAAAAAATAACTTTACAGCCTATTTATGATTTTCACAGCATCCCTTGGTCACATGATCACCATTGTTATCTTTTGCCTAACCTGTGTTTTTTTCTCCCTCACCACCTTTGCAGAACAGAGAGATTGGAGAAAAAGGGATTGTAGGACAGTAAGCAGTTTGTTCTTCTACACATAGAAAGGAATACGATCATACCTATAGCGGGAAGGGATCAGGCAAAGGAAAAATTGCCTACAGAAGTTGTTTGTTTTTTCTCTCCCCCCTCCCCCGAGGAGAGATCAGAGACATAGGACTTTCCTAACCCTTTCATATAGTGTGCCCATGTCTCCCAGCCTGTTGCCATGCATGATTGTATTGCTTTTGATATGTACAAGACAATAATTAGGCACTTGATCATTAGGCACAGAAGTGGTTAGGAGGGCAATCAAGAGGTAAGATGGCTGGCCTATAAATTTTACAAATAAATTTTACAAATAAACAAAGGTAAAAGGTGTAAAACTGAGTAGTTTTGTCTCTTTCCAGCCAGAAAGCACAGTTGCAGACATGTAATTTCCCACTTAGCAAAGCTTTGCTTAAGGCAGAATTGCTGGTTCCAATTAAGTGAGGGCTGCCTCTACTGGCAATCATGTGACTGAGGGAAACTGCCAAAGTTGTAAATTCTGACATTGGTTTTAAAGTTACTTTTTCAGATCCATTTTAAATTTAAACAGTCACTGAATGAGACAGTCAGTAAGAAAGGTGTATCTGTACATTTCATTTAGTGTAAAGATCTTTTCTACAATGAGAATAGACTACCAGCCTACCCAAGCAATAAAAAAGAAAAGGAGAGATACTTATCAGAGAAGATGTCATTATTCAACCCTTTTCTTATATTTATATCTCCTTAAATTTTGTTTCTCTGAACTTTCCACTGGCTTGACTTTCAAAAACTACAAAAGAAAGATTTCCCTGGAAATGATATCAGAAGACTTTCTAGAATGCTTCTGGAATGTGTAGGAGAGAGATACACACACAGAATGTCTGTCTCAATTGTAGAGAAATATTTTCACAGTAAATCTAATATACACATTTAGAGAAATTGTGTATTATCACAGATCCTAAAGTAGTATATTTTAAATATTGTCAATGAAAAAGAATAATTCTTGATTTCTAGGAACTGATTAACAAGAAAAATTGCATGCATTATATTAGATTTTAATATCTATTTTACAATTAACTTACATTATAACTTTGGCTTTCTGGAGTAGAATATCATCCTTCACATATTGCTACATGTTAGAATATGGAAGCCATTACTTTGATGTCTAAAAAAGATGGGCACATTAAACTGAATTTAAAATGGCACTATAGCAATAGCACTTAGACCTATATACTGCTTCACAGTGCTTTACAGCCCTCTCTAAGCGGTTTACAGAGTCAGCACATTTTCCCCGACAATCTGGGCTGAGTCAAGCTTGAGCCAGTGAGACCCGAATTGCCAAACTGCTGGCAGCCGGTAATCAGCAGAAGTAGCCTGCAGTACTGCATTCTAACCAGTGAGCCATTGCTCAGAATTGTATTTTATTAAATAGCTGTGTTCTCTCTGTTTTTGGATAGGGTGGACCAAGCAAGCTTGTACAAAAGCATTTGGCTGGATTATTCCAAAGTATTGCATCTTTCTATCATCCCTCAAATAATGGTCGCTGGTTGGTAAGTATATGTCTATCTTCTCTTTAAATCTTGACATCAAGACCTTAAATATTGTGTTGGTATAGAATTTTGTCAAACCCATTTTTGACAAAGGCACTAGTTTCAATTAAATGTCCATGCTAAATATGATTTTAAAGCAGTCTAAAACATCACCAACTCTTCCACCTCCATAATACTAACAGTATACATAAAGCTTATAGGAAACAGAGTTAACTCATTTGCTTTTCTGAAGAAATTATGATCTACAAATGGATACAGAAGTATAAAAAAGATGAGGAGTAGAAGCTGGTGCAGTTATGACAAGAATATGCACCTGTTTTTTATAAAATAACACAGAGAAAATGTGACTATTGAAGAGGTTCTTGAAGGGAGAAAGATATGAGCAATATCAAAGATGAAAAGATCAGAAAAGCCAGAAATGTAATTTATAAAAAACGTTATAGTTATCAAAATCAGTGTTCAATTCTTCTACTATCATTTGTGTAATGGGCAATAATAGCTAGATGAGACTATAAAGAATATTAATCATGTGAAAGGTTGAGGAAGATATAATACAGTTGTTTACTGAGCCTGAAGAATAATTATTAGCAATATTGAACAGTACTAATCAGGCTTTCCTTTCACTATAGCTAAAAATTATGTATGAACCAAGCATAGTAGATCTATATAGCCAACAGCAAATTGAAGGAAATTTATGGCTTCTTTCTGGTGCTGTGAACTATATTAAAAGCTGAATAGCGTTATGCCTGATCCAAAGGTTTTTTTTAAATTTCAAAACCTGTACAGTGTCCAGTTAAGTGAATTTTACAGTTGACGATAAGCTAATCAATAAAATTGTTAAATAAATAAAAAATTAAATGAGTTAAATGTATTTTATTTCTTCAGAAATTGCTTTGGAATATACATACACCCATATACATATCAGGGAAAAAAATACTAAGGCTAGTCTTTTCATGTGAGGCATCATTCACGAAAGTTCAAGATACAAGAGTAGTTCTTCCACTCAAAGCTGTCGTACTATTTCAGCTGCTGATGCCATGTAGGTTCAGAGATATCATCTGTGGACCAAGTACATGGGTTGTTATTGCTTTTAGTTAGAGATTAGAACTGCCTTGATGCTTGATATCAGTCTGCTTGTCATAATGTTAAGATACAGGCATTGAAGTTGGAAGTATGTAAAACAAAAGCTATTTTAAAATCCAATGAAGCATCAGCTCTGCCTTTGCTCCCATTTAAAAGCCCCACTGCCTGCCTGCTAGTTTGCCCATCTGTTGTTTATGTTAATGAGCTCTCCCACTAAATTCCATTGTTTTTCAGTGGAAAAAGGTACAAAACTATGCAACACCCTCTATTACCTCAGATTGGATTAGACTTCTCTATGAGAATGCTGGAATATTGGCAGAGTTGGCAGAGCTGAATGCCTGCTTACCTTCCATTCAGACTTGCTGCTGCTGTCAATAGAGGAATTTTATCTAGTGAATGAGTTTTGGGTGGTGGGTGTCACATGATTGAGGAAGTATGGGAAAGTCATCTGTTTCTCCCAGTAGATAACTATCTATTATAATAGCACCAAGAAAAGAATGGAATAATATTATTGTTCTGCAGTGTTATAAGACGGATACTGCTGTGCCACAACCTCCCTGACATCAAACCCCAACTCTTTACTAAAGGTTCTGGTCCATCTCTCATTATGCACAATACATAAAATACCTTCAAAACAGACAGACTTAACTGAATAATGGGTTTACTTTGTTTAATGCACAGAATGTAGAAATCAAAACAGTTTGGGTTCTTTTTCTTCTAATTAACTGGAATGAATTTTGTTGCCTTTCTTTGGTAGAATAAGCTAATGAAGCTACTTCAGCGTCTACCCAGTAGTATAGTCAGAAGATTGCATCGTGAGCGCTATAAGAAGACGAGCTGGCTGACTCCTGTGCCTGATAGCCATAAGCTTTCTGATCAGGACATAACAGAATTTGTAGAATGCATTATACAACCTGTCCTGCTGGCAATGTTTAGCAAAACTGGAAGTTTAGAGGCAGCCCAAGCTCTACAGAATCTTGCACTAATGCGTCCTGAGTTGGTAATCCCACCAGTACTTGAAAAGTGAGTACTATCTAAAAGCCAGAGAAAGTTTATCTAGTTTTTAGATGATTAGGAAATGTTATTCTAAGTCAGTATTTTTCCAAACCTAAACCAGTATTTTCCAGGTGTATGGATTTCAGCTTCCAAAATTCTTAGTCACAGCCGTATTGGTTCTGGAATTCTGGGAGTTGAAGTCCACATACCTCAGAATTATCTGTTTTAAATAATTGTCTTTTTGCTGCAATTTTTAACACTCAGGATGACAAGAGAATCTAGATTTACTGTTTGTTTCTCTTTGTATTTACTTTTTGAAATGTCTGTTTTAGTTTATACTCTAATCTTTTATTACTTATTTTATGAGTTTACTTTTAAAAATATTCATGCTATCAAAACACAGAACTTTTGACAAGATCAAAGTTTAGGTATACATTTCCTCACTTTGAAACTATTACTCTTCCATTTTTATTGGCTTAAACAAGAGCAAATACCATTTAAGAGGTAGAAAAAAGTGGCCTTGACAGCATATCTTCTCTGCTCCCTAGAGTTCCTCAAACATACATATGGTCAAACATTTTGGGTTCTTTTTGAAATTGACATTTTAACGAAAAAATGGGTTTATTTTGCAAATCCTTAAAACACCCTTTTATATTTTAAAACTCCTGAAATTTCTTCTCTGACTGTTCCTTCTTTTAGAATGGAGTCTTCCACATATCCCACAAAGCTTGTTATATGGCCCTTCAGTCAGCAGACGTTAAGAGACCTACAATCTAGTTTCATTTTTGTTGTTTCTTAATGTTACATTGTATATTTAGTAGAAAATGTATTTGAAATCCAATCTTATTCTGGTTTTTTATATTTCCTAAAGTTGAGTCATTGAAACATAGTACTAGTTAGAATTTCTGCAAGAAGAGTAATGTAATATCAAAACTGGAAAAGCTAGAAAAATTGTTTGGAGTGGCCTGAACATAGCCCATGTCTGGCTGTGAACTTATAAGCACTTGTAAGTAAAATATTCGAACTGATAAAATATTTTGTTTGGTTTTTTTTTGTCCACAGAACATATCCCGCACTAGAGACATTAACAGAACCTCATCAGCTGACAGCTACATTAAGTTGTGTAATTGGTGTAGCTCGTAGCCTGGTATCTGGGGGCAAGTCATTTCCTGAAGGTCCAACACATATGTTGCCTCTGTTGATGAGAGCATTGCCTGGTGTGGATCCAAACGATTTTAGCAAATGCATGGTGAGTGTAATAATTTCACATTGTTACATTGTGTTATGTTGCAGTTAGATCTCTTATGTCACCTAAGAGATGACTACAGTTTTCCATGGATTTCTTTCTTTCGTATTTTACCCTTTTCCTTACTGCTTTTTTTTGAGCATCTATTTGGCTGCCTTTATTTCTTCCTCTTTTCATTTGCAGGGGTAGAGCATACAACAGGAGGAGCAAATAAGGCATAAGCTAATTGCAGTCTTTTCCAGTTTATGTGCTTTCTGCTAAATCACAGTTGATTCCTCAGCATAATTTACATCTCCCTTAGCACCATCAGGATTCTCTGCTATCCCTGATCTTAAAAATCATTTTTAAATCATTTTTAAACTATGACCTGCTGCAAAGTAAAGTATAATTTTTATTTTACAGTAAACCCCCCATTTCAATATAATTAAACATGTTGCATGGCTAAAAATTCAGCATTTTTATGTACACCCAGCTGCCAGAATAAAAGAAAATAGTTAGGTGACAAGAATACGGAATTTACTGGGAATTTAGGGCAGATGATGGCAAACATTTGTGTGAGACTCTAGTGACTTGTAGGGATTGTAGGGAAGCCCCCCACAGCCCTCCCCATGCTGTGAATGTGTTTTGCTTTTCAGTGTTAGCATGTTTAGCTATGAAGTCTTTTGCCTGGTGAGCCATTCATTGGATGTAAGCTTTGTTAAGATGGATTCATGGTTAGTAGTTAAGAATACAAATCCTCTCTTGTTTTGCATTCAGTTCCCAGGTCAGTTTGCCTATAGATAGGAATAAACAACGGAACATAAAACCATAGGTTCAGAATTGTTTAGACATCACCTTTGCCCTACATTTGTGGTTGTTAGGTCTTAAAAAAACATTGCCAATTTGCCTTCTGGAAAATGTATATTTATAACAAGCTATGCCTGTCATGACAACTGTTTTATGAATGGGAATCTCTTTTTCCAACAGCTGTCAAGTAGTGAACGCATTGATTTTTTTCAAAATTCTGTTCACCGAAAAAGGCTGGCAACCTCTGCTTTAGTGTATATGGAAATATGAATAGAAGAACCTAAACACAGTTTAATTTTGCACTAGGTGTAATCTGGGTACCTGAGATGTGGGAATATCAGTTTTCCTTCTCCATAGAGTTTTGTCATACAATGTTTCAGATATTTGAAGTGATTTACGTTCCTTTTTATATTAAAGTGTATACTTACTACACTGAAACTTGTTTGCATACTTTATTAGATCACATTCCAGTTCATTGCAACATTTTCTACTCTCGTGCCTTTAGTGGATTGTTCATCAGTACTACAAGAGAGAAATGATCTCACAGAGGTATCAGTTTTAAAAGTTATTTCCTAAATTAAACTGCTTGTGAAAATGTTCAAGTACAGATAAGAGTATATAGAATGTAAAATAATATCAAAACATATTTTTTGCTGCTTGTACTTTGTAACTATAAAATTAAGGTTTTCAGTTTAAAAATAAACAAACTATTGGTCTAAATTTACTAACAAAATTTGTTTTGTTTTTATTTATGTTCCCTTGATTTTGACATTGGTATTTTGAATATTTACAGAAACTGAGATTTTATGTTTTGAATAATGCGAGAATTGTGTAAAGAACTAAAAAAAATTTGGAAATTACACCATGATTTACATGCAGTAGAAAAAAACTTTTCTTGTATTTTGAAACTGTAGGTGGAGAGAGAACTGTGCTCTGCTACTGCTGAATTTGAAGATTTTGTACTGCAGTTTATGGACAGGCAAGTAGTAATGGGAAGCAGAGCATGCTGGTTATGTGAACCAGTTTTGTGGTTCATACTAATCTACATTTCTAGTTTGAAAGCTATTCTGAGGGGAAAAATGTAAGAGTCAAAAATTGACAAAGCTGGTTAAGTAGTTTAACTGATACTTTTTCAACAAAGTTTATAGGCAACAGAATTTTTGAATAGGGCATCTCGATATAGTCATGTGTCTGCTTTTTTTTTGTAATGGCCAAATACAATTAATTTTCCTCTCTCTCACCTTTATGATATAAAAAGCCACTTAAGATACTTAAACGTCTAAAGAGTGCAGTAATTTATCTCCTCTCATTTTACATTTATAGTTTGACTAATATGTTTTGCTTTCTTGAATTCTTTTGGGGGTGGGTGGGTTGAAAATCACTTGAAACACTAATTGTCAATCTATGAAATTAAAAAAAGATAATAAAGATAATAAATATTAAATAAATAGCTCACAAACTTTTTTTATTAGACTGCAAGTCCCTATGCTTATGAGTTGGTAAAGAAAAAAAAAAGAATTTATTTCTGGTCTTCTGGAGTTTGTTGCCAGAAATGATTGAGGGAACATATGCAGATTTTATAGCATACTATTAAAAATAATATTCTACTTCAGCCCATATAAACAACAACAAAAATTGTAGTGGTTTCTTGTTTTATTAATTATGTTACTTGACTGTTGTTTTTCTGTATAGATGTTTTGGACTCATAGAAAGCAGCACATTGGAGCAAACAAGAGAGGAGACTGAAACTGAAAAGATGACTCATTTAGAGAGCTTAGTGGAACTAGGACTATCTTCTACATACAACACAATCCTCACACAGTGCTCAAAAGACATATTTAAGGTATTTTTCATCAAAGGGAGCGCTTTCTATCTTAATTTTCATAAACCCAAAGCTTCTGAAACTCTTTAAATTTTAATCATGTTTGTTTGGAGTTTGACCAAAGAAATATAATTTAAGCTACATTCATGGTGTAAAAAAACATTGCACAGTGAAAATAAATATATTGATCTGGGATTCAAAGAAGTTGTTACACCCAAAGACTTGGTAATGCCTAAAAGACTTCTTTATTTTATTTTGTTTTAAAATGTCGCTAAGCCAACATTGAACTTGAAAAGTTTAGTAAGATTAATATTTGGATGGGAGAGTGCCAGGAGATCTGTAGGCTAAGACTGGGAAGGAAAAAAAATCCTGGAAGAAGGCAGTTGCAAACAATTTACTTTTTTTTTTTGCCAAGAAGATATATGACTATCTGAATAGTTACCAAAGTCAGAACAAAGGACTTTTTGCCTTTAGTTTTGTTTAAAATGACATGCCACATCAGAGTCTGTGAAGGTTGTCCCAGATTTAGAACTGAGTTGGAAAATAGCATAGCTGACTTGATACTAAGGCTAAAATCTCCTGCAGAAGCTATAGACATAGATTTTTAGGTCTAAGCAGTTGTTTTTTGCAATCAGTACTAGACCATTGACTTTTGTAATAGAAAATCTATATCTGGACAATGGTAGAACTTTTCTTCTGCTATGCTTTCATTGTATATGCAGGGTTTTACTTTTTTGGGGGGCGGGGGAGAACATTCAACCAGTTAAATCATCACTAGTGTTTTAACATTGCAGCCCAGTTATAAATAGGATAAGAAAATGTCATTGATCATGTGTGTGTGTGTGTGCGTGTGTGTGTGTGTGTGTGTGTGTGTGTGTGTGTGTGTAAGTAATCAATTGTGTCTTCCTGCTGGCTTCCTCAATTCTATGCTTGTTGGAGGCCGGCAGTGGTAGGTAGGTAGATAGATAGATAGATGGATGGATGGATGGATGGATGGATGGATGGATGGATGGATGGATGGATGGATGGATGGATGGATGGATGGATGGATGGACGGACGGACAGACAGACAGACAGACAGACAGACAGACAGACAGACAGACAGACAGACAGACAGACAGATGACAGACAGATGACAGACAGACTGGCTACACACATACATACTTTGCAGAATTCACTTAATGATGGCTTCTGGAACTGCTATCATAAGTCATGACATGACATCACAGTGTAAGACCACATGACAGACAATTTCAATTATTACTGTTCACCAAGGACTATCTGTATCAAGTTTAATTGTTGCTACTCAAGATAGATTGCAAGTTGGCAAAGTTTAGTAGTAAAATATATTTATCTCTATTTCTCCAGGTTTTTTTTTAGTTTGACATACAGTATTTTTGTTCCTCTGTACACAGCTGATTAAAATGTAACTGATGTCTATGTTCTGCCATAGAAAAGAACACAATTCAAAGCCAATCCTTTTTCTTCTTTGCCTGTCCATTAATGCAATAATGTGCTGCATAATATTTTGAAAGTTGAATGTGAAGAATAGGACAGATTCAGCCTGAATCTAGGAAAATAGATGCATAGTAAATTCCTTTAAACTGTTGCCGCACACCTGGTTGATTCATAGGCCACAAACTAGATTGGAACCATGGTGGCCCAGTGGTTAGAATGCAGTACTGCAGGCTAACTCACTATTCCAGGAGTTCAATTCTAAATGGCTCAAGTCTTCCATCCTTCCAAGATCAGTAAAATGAAGACTCAAGACTGTTGAGGGCAATATGCTGATTCTGTAAACTGTTTAGAGAGGACTGTAAAGCACTATGAAGCAATATATAAGTCTTCACTTATATAATATATAAGTGATATAGCTATTGTTTGATTATATCTTGGTTTCTAGATGAGCTTATGTACAACTCCAATTAATATCAATTCTTGCCAATGTACATATAATCCTTGCAAATCATTCAGGATATCATGATGAATGGTATCAAAAGCTGTTGAAGGACTTAGCAGAATCAGGTTGAACATGGATAACCTCAGAAGTCTCTGTGATTTCTTTCGGATTTCCCCAGCCTGTACCCAGCGTTCAATTCTAAATAAATATGAATGATTTTATCCCTTAGATGCTTTGAAAATTTATGTTAATAACATCATAATTGATCTTCCGCCTCATTCTTCCCTACAAGGACACCTTAAATAAAGTTGACTATCCACAGATAAATGTAGAATAGTATTGGTATTGTATGGTCATATTTACACTTCATTGCCAGCATTGTTCCAGGTGGATTTTTTGCTGTTTCAATATATTAAAGAGTACCTTCTAATCACCAGATAAGAAGAAGCCACCAAGGTACCATCATGACGAAGAGTTGAAGCCACCTCCTTATTCTCCTTATTCTAAAGATTGATTAAGGTCATGAAAGATTTGATTATGACAAGGGACTGATGCTAATGTCCCTTATCCGCAGATCATATAACAATTGTTCCAAGAGAAAAACAAGAGTTACCACATGGCCTTGTAGTATATTAGACCCATTATAACCTGGACTTGGTGACTCCTCCAGTAAAGATGGAGGTTGAAGTCCTTCTTTATCATGACAAAATCTATCATCAATCCAGTGGTGCGATTCAGCAGTTACGGCATGGACACCATTATGTCCATGTGCAACAGAGACGACAGTACAATAGTAGCCATCTCAACTTGTCCCTCAAGCTCATCCTCACAATGATTCTCTGCATAGAGTTGCCTGTGTCTCAGAATGGTACTTCCTGATTCCTTAAGTATGACTCATAGAATTCATGCCCAAAAAGTTTACCTGTCACTAGTTCAAAAATGTTTCAATGCTGTCTTTTTCAACATGTTTTCCTTGTGATAACCATGCATAAACCTAAAATGGGAACAATGTAATTCTCAGGAATTGATGAATCCTGGTTTAATTCATAATTTATATCCTTTAAATCAAGATTCATAATTTGCCTATGGCACAATATTTCTGGTTTGGTCATTCATACATTTTCTTTCTTTTTGTTTTTGTATAGGTTGCCTTGGATAAGGTTTTCAATTTTGCTGTCTCAAATATTTTTGAGACAAGAGTGGCTGGTCGAATGGTGGCTGATATGTGCCGAGCTGCAGTGAAAGTAAGACTTTATTATTATTCTCAGTTAAGATCTAACAATAACTTCTCTGTTTTGTTGACACTAGAATGTTTTGCCACTTGATCAGACCTCTCCCTCTGCCACACAGGCCTTAGATAGAATATTCCTTATCTAGTTCTTAGTGTTTTTTCCTTTGCAGAATCAAGGCCATTCAGTAGAAAATATATGTTTTGTATCTTTGCTGTGGAATGCTCATTATTTTGTCAAAATATCTTAATGTAACATTTGGTTCTGTCTGATATTTCAGTGCTGTCCAGAGAAGTCTTTGAAGCTTTTTGTACCCCATTGCTGCAGTGTTATAACACATCTCACTCTCAGTAAGTTTCAATGGTCTAACATAACTTGTTTATATATGTCGGTGTATATTGTGTGTTGAAAATTTGAACTTTATTTGTAGTTATGTGTACAAAGTTCTTCTCTGGAGAAGGAATATTTTGAGAAATTCTAGAATTTACCTATCCAGCTATTCTACCAAATGTCCAGAATTTTTTTGAAGAAAATGTCTAGAACTGGAAATAATTTCTAGCATTCTAAGCATATTCTTCCAACACCTAGAGACAGTATATACAATATTCTGATATATATACTATACAGTAATTTTATTCTCAAGAGATGGAGACTAGTTGGAAACTATCAACTTCCATTACTCAATATGTATTTGAACCTGGTCCTATTTCACCATGCTACCTACTATACCATAATAACTTTTATGGGTTAGGGTAAGAGAAGATCATGGCATAGGATCATTCGATTATTAATTCAATGATTCAGTCTCCCTAATCCAATTTTCACCGCTATATTACATTAATGTAATACATCAGTAGAACAGACAAGGTACACTAACTGAAGGCACAAAGTGCATCTATGTCTCTAATATTCAACAGAATGTTAGAGATTATGTTTAAGTGCTGAATGCTGATTTTGCAACAATCATAGATAGGTTTTCTTTAGTAGACACTTGAAGCAGTGTATTTATATGAGGGAACCCTGGCTGTTGTACTGTTTTTGCCTTAAACAGTTTACTTTTTCTTCACAATTGGAATCATTTACTGCAAGAAATTAATGGGTAAAATAGCCATTATTTTCAGATTTAAAATTTTCTTCTCTGTCATGACACATGTTGGAAAAGAACAGGAGACATCCTAAGATCCATCCAAGGGACTGAAATATATCTATATACATTATTGGGAAGATAATGTGCACTATACAATAATAAGCTATTCACATGTTTATTACTTATAACAATTGCAAAATGTTCACTTCACATATGAATTTGAAAGGCTAATCTGTTTGTGTGAATGGCACAAAGATATCTGCAAACTTGTATAAGCAATCATGTTTCTCACCTAAGCTCCTTGTATGTCCTTTGCTTAAATAATAATATTTCTCAGAAATCAAAATTGGAAACAATTGAAGGTAGACAAGGTACTGAAGAATATTTAACTTGTTTTTTGGGAATATGCTAATTTGGGAAGGAAAACATTGTAACATATCTTCTGAATGATGACATGATTGAAACTTCTCATAGAATTATCAGGCAGCCAATTATGTAAGACAACAAAGTAAGACTACTTTGTGGAGGTAACTTAATTTAATTTTTATCCAGAAAATGAGTGTAAATAATGTAGATATACTGTCGGTATAAGAAACAATTAAAACAGGTATTTTATATATTTGTCATCCTATAACAGAAGAATCATATGAACATATGTCTTTATATATTTATATTGTTTTTGTATTTTCTAGTTGAATCATAAAAACATATAGCAAACCTTGTATCATGAGTAACCTAAACAAGAATCTTCAGAACTGTGAATATGTTATTACCTACACATGCTGCATCATAGTAACATTGAGGTATAATGTATTTCATATTTAGATGATGATGTATTACATGATGAAGAGTTAGATAAAGAACTCCTCTGGAATCTTCAACTTTTATCAGAGGTATTTATAAGAAATTCTAGCTTTAATTTTCAATATATTTGGTTCATGTTTATGAAATAACAAACAGAATTTCCTTATGAGAAACATACTTAGGGCCCAAACTACTTAACTAAATGTGTATACTAGATTGAATCATTATATCACCTACAAAGCTCCTATAGAGAAGAACAGTGAGTTTTAAATCTGATTTGAGAGAGGAAATATAATAGCTTGAAATTCTAAAACTATTAGTGAAAAATAGTAGTGCTTCTTTTCAAGTATTCCCTACTTGGGAATTAATTCATAGAAACATAGTGTTGGAATGGAGCTTAGAGTTCTTCAAGTCCAATCCTTTCCAGGACATGAATCCTGATATCATCCAAGACAAATGTCCAATCTTTGCTTGAAAATCTCCAATGATAAAGTACCCATGACTTTAAGAGACATACTATGCCACTGCTTAATAGCTCTAGCGTTGAGGTAATTTCTCTTTCTATTTCCATTTTCCTAAAGTCTATTTTTCATTTTTGTCCTGCATTTAGGAGTTATGGAAAATAAATCCATATCCTCTTCCCTGAAAATAGTCCAAGTATTGGAAGAGTATTTTCATCTCCAGTGGATGTGTTTCAACCGGTGTTTTTTAAGCACACGCTCTGTGTTTAAAAAAGCCCATTTTAAGCTCTAATATTTACCTTCTACTGCAGCCCCTGTGAATAAAACAGCTGAGGCATGGCAAACCACACTGCTGCGCAAATCAGCTGTGCTCTAAAACAACAAAATAAAGCACAGAAAAGAGCACGGGAGGGTGGGCGGGGCCAAATGTTCACCGGAACTACTGGTTCGTCCGAATGGATCTGAACTAGTAGAATCCCACCCCTGCTCATCTCCCTCTCTTATTTGGATAAACACAGTTTCTTTAACTGTTTTTCATGAGATTCGGCCTTCAAGTCCTTCATCATCAGTGCTGATTTTCTTTACACTCTTCATTTTGATCGTCATTTCTCTTCAGATTCCCCCCCCCCCAATAGTTTGGTATCTGACCGGTTAGAATACTTCAGCCATTTCCCTATTATCACGCTATCTTCTGGGACCAGTGAATTCTGCTTCCTTGACTTTCCTTTGTTCTGCACATATTCAAAGAACAGCTTTCATTATTTTCGGCATTCAGTGCCAGATTGAGCATATTTTGAGTCTTCCTAACACCATTATTCTTATTAATATGGGCTGTCCCCTGATGCTCTGTTTCTGCTATACACCCCTTTCCATTCTTCAAACTTAAGCTATATTTCTCACTTATTGGCTATTTATACACTGGTTTCCTCAGGTGTCGCCTTATTTTTCTTTCTCTTTGGTTGATTAGATTTAATAAGTTGACCTTGGGCATTAGGATTTCCTAACCCTCCCTTCCTAGCTCCTAATATTCAACAGAGCTTTCAGTATTGCAAGATATTGAGAAAATTTAGAACGTCTGTGTTTAGGCTTTTATAGAAAGCCTTTTATTTTACATTTTGTTTCCTTCAATCAGTAATGACATGTTTCTTTTAGAAATGTGTGTCACTTGTTTGCTGTTCTGGTAGTCCTCATTTAGCAACCACAGATGGATTGTTAACTCTGTCACTAAGTGTTGCTGTTGTTAAACATCATATGATCATGACTTATTAATTTACTACTGGCTTCTCCATTTACTTTGTGGTTGCGAGCCAGCTGTGAAGCTGGCAAATGATGGTGGAGTGCCTCCTGGATGTTGCAATGGCCATAAATGCTGCTGGTTTTGATATGCCCAAATTCTGATCACATGAATGCAGGGAGGCTGCAACAGTCGTAAGTGTGAGGAGTGGTCGTAAAGTTACTTTTTCAGAGCTATCCTAATTTCAAAAAATAGATCAAATGTCTCTTCTGAACTATACATTCACGTAAATTCTGTTGTGTTTATTTCTGATACTTTGAATTTTGCTAGATCACTCGTGTGGATGGGAAGAGGTTGCTGCCATACAGGGAGCAGCTTTTGAAGATTCTGCAACGAACCCTCCATTTAACCTGTAAGCAGGGTTACATTCTGTCTTGTAACCTACTGCACCATCTTCTTCGTTCTACTACACTTATCTACCCCACAGAATACTGCAGTGTGCCAGGTGGTTTTGACAAGCCTGTTTCTGAATACTTTCCTATCAAGGCAAGGATTTTAACTTTCTTAGGACTAGAGAATTTGACTGCATTTTAAAAAATAAAAGCAATGAACAATTACTCTGTTGCATTTCCTTGAAGGCTTTTCCAGCTCAATAACTATGGAAAGTGTAAGTGAAAGATGCTACAAGACTAAAAATATGTAATGTCAATTTTATCATCTGTGTATTTTTTTTTATTTGGATGCTAGCACATACCATCTTGAAGGGATGGGTCATGAAAACCAAAGTTAAACATATTGTAGTTAATACAGTATTAGTAGTTAGTAGTTAAACAACTGCAGGCTAGCTTAAAGTAACAGGAAATCATTAGGTCTATGTAACATTTCCTATTCTACTAAATAATAAAATTGAGATATTTCTTGTTTCATATACTAGGTAGTATTTTTTCCATTTTATTTTTAAAGATATTTTAACATATTACAAGATAAATTAGTCTATATAGTAAATCTGTTAATTCTGTAGCATGTTGAATGGCCTTAGCTTGCTGTATAGCTACAGGTACACAAATACAATTAAAGAATACAATGCTAAAGATATGTGTAATACATATTATATTTTTATAATTTAAAATATAAAATACTAAAAAGCAAGATGATATTAAGTACGTAATAAAAAGTAATTGTAGAGGAAGGAGTAGCAGAACCTGAGGGCAGAGTTAAAAGAGGGAGGGATCAGCCTAGAATCTCAACATAGGCCCACATGAATTAAGTCCATATTTCCCTACATGTGCAGATAATGACAATGCTAAGCAGCAAGATATAATTGAATAATTGTAGTGATATTTCAGACTGCTTAGAAAGGAACTTGAAAACTGAGTTTCACTTTATCTCTTGAAAACAAGTAACATATTTTCCATACCTTCTTGCTTATATTTATTTCTATCTTAAAGTAGCAAATGATCAAGTAGTAATCTGATTATAGGCATGGCAGGGATGAACGTACACTGACAGAAACTGTTTTCAATGGTAGGAATTCAGTAGATGCCATCAGAAAATACAATTTTAAAAATCCAAATAATTCATACATCATAAAAATCGATTTTGCCAAATGTAACTGTAATGCAAGAATTAATATGCTAATTTTTACAGAATGTATCATGAGATTAAAGTAAAGAAATCCTCAGAATACTGACAACTGAAGAAACGGACATATTCTGTTTTTTGGAACAGTTTGCCCAAGGCAGGATAAAATCCTAATTGAGGTTTTTACAGAAGAAAAAGAACAGATTAGAAAACATGAATTTAAGATTTTTATTTGCATATCATTTTGGATAAACTCCTTGAAATTAGTACATGATAGCATCTATCAAGTTTTATAGTTGCTATTTATAGCTATCTTTTGTGTAGCATGCTTGAGCACTATGTTGTTCTGATTATGGTGCCAAGCACAACTGAAAGTGCTGGTCTTGACCTCAAAAGCAATGAATGGAATGCAGCCAGTGTGTTTAACACATGATTCTCCACCCACTCCATCTGAGTTCATGTGCCTTCTTTTGCTTAATGAATTTGAAGAGGGTTTTTTAAATGGGTCTCTCTGTCATAAAACTCTATCCTTTGTATAATTGTATCATTGGAACTTCTCTAAGTTTACTTAAACATGGTTTGATTTTATAAAATCATGTTTTGCTTTTAATACTATAACATTTGCGACCTAAATTAAATTGGGAAAAAGAAATGTAGTTTGTTAAAACAACAACTATAAATTTAACTTTTTTTAAAAAAACTGGTGACCTGAATAGGTTACTGTTTATTGAATATATTCTTTTAATTCATCTCTTACCAAGTCAAGTGTTTAAGATCCTTTTATCTGAAATAAGAAAAAAATTCCTTGTTAAATGTTATGACATAATTATTTTCTAATTTTGCTAAAGGCAAAATGTACACCCTTGTGTTATTTTTACAGGACTGGGGTAAACCTGGTAATCTACAGAAACTTGATATTCAGTGGCATGTTCCTTCAGCTGAAGAAGTTGCTTTTTCTTTTGAATTGTTGGATACTTTTCTCCAGCCAGAGATTAACAAACTGGAGCGGTATTCAGATGGAAGTCTTGAAATGTCCAGGTTAGACAGATTCATTACTGACTAAATTGTTTTTTCAAATTTAAGTAAATGAATATAACTAAATTCCTGAATAAACTAATGAGATTTACTCAGTATAGGAATCAGGGATACATTGCATATCAGTTTATTTATTTACTTAGAATATCTGTATATTAAAAACACTTTGTCAGAAAGATTTGCTTTATTTCATGTTTTTATGTTTACTTTCTGATATACTGTAGATGCTACTCAATAATAGGTGGCTAACAATAAAGCCACAACAATGTAAACAGAAGAAGTTAAAACACATATTTGGTATAAGCTGCTGAGACTCACTTTGATTGTGGTTGCATAGGAATATGTTTAATAATATAAATAATAGCTAATGTATAAGATAGTGTAGTTTTCATTCAGTTAATCCTTGATTAAGGTTATTTGTTCAGTGACTGTTTGAAAGTTACAGTGGAAACTTACAACCAGTAAGAGATGAGGTTGAATAATATTTCTTTGGTTATTATGAGTATTTTTGTAGGCATCTGAAGGATTGAGCTGTGGTGACACAGTGGTTAGAATGCAATAGTCGGCTACTTCTGTGGTTAGAAGTGGTTAGAATGCAACAGTCGGCTGCCTGCAATTTGGCAGTTTGAATCTCACCAGGCTCAAGGTTGACTCAGCCTTCCATCCTTCCGAGGTGGCAAAATGAGGACCCAGATTGTTGGGCGCTATATGCTGACTCTGTAAACCGCTTAGAGAGGGCTGTAAAGCACTGCGAAGCAGTATGCTATGCTATTGCTGAACCTGATGACATGGCTAAAACTATGTTTTACAAAGTTATCTGGGATGAGTTCCGAAGAAGTGGACATGATTCTTTTTGAGGTTGAACTGCAGATCCATGCCATTCCTGGTTGGTGAAAACTTCCAGGAAGGTGCTAGGATTTGAGTCAGGGTCCTATTATATATATTCTTGAGACACAGGTTGATCCCTACTGACTTGAAGTACATGGTGCTATAGCCCCTTTTCAGAAAACTACTTCTTGGCCCAGAAATTGTGGATAATTATTGGCCAATCCTCAACCATCTTCCCTTTTGAGGAAAGTTTTTTGGGAATGTGGTGGAACATAGAACCTGGAAAAACACATTACAGGTAATCCTCACATTACCTGTTCATTTAGTGACCATTTGAAGTTACAATGGCACTAAAAAAAAGTGACTTATTTTTCACATGACCATTGCAACATCCCCATGGTCACATCATCAAAATTCAGACACTTGGCACCTGACTCATATTTATGACGATAGCAGCATCAGGAGCAATGTGATCACCTTTTGCAACCTTCTGATAAGCAAAGTCAAGGGGAAGCTAGATTTACTTAACAACCGTGTCTTATGTTCCATTTTATTGTGTCTTATGTTCCATTTTATGACACCACAAGACTCAGTCTTTCCTCCACTTGAATTTGACATTTACTGAAGCCATTGGATGAGGTCAGAAATGAACATACAATCAGAACCTGAGTATATATGGGAGTGCCTATTCCCAATTGTTTTTGCCTTTCCAATTAGATATGATAGTGCATGGTCTCTCCATATTCCTTTTCCCAGCTAATGTTATCAACAGGGATCATGGAAATAAAACTCTGAATTGCTACCCTTCTGCTGAAGAGCATTTGCCTGGAAATCTAAATTATTCTCACTCTGTTGCTTTTTAGGAAGGCCATTAAAACTTGCTATTCCAGGGATTTATTATTGTTTCCTCCTATGGCTTTGGAGTATCTCTCTAATGTTCCCAGTGTTTATATAATATATTTTAAATTTTATATTGTAATTTTTATTATTTTTTAATCTTTATAGATGTCAGTTTTAACAGAATAGCAAAGGGACCTTTGAGATCTTCTAGTCCAACTCCCTGCTCAAGCAGGAAAAATATATATACAATGCTCAGGATGATAGCATATAATATAGGCAGACAGATGTTTATTATCCCCGTCCAATCAATCCATCAAATAGGTTTGATTGTTGAATTATAGATTGCTGGCAAATGCATTCTGTGACTATTTAATGATTTGGCCTTTGAAATGGTGGCTTGCTTCAGATAAAATAATTCAGCATGACTATTTAATAGGATTTTCTAATGTTATTGTAGAAGTCAGGTCTCAAAGTTCTTTTGAGTGCTTTTTAGTAAAGTGAAAAATATTTCACCTATTTAACATTTATTTTCAGAGATGATGTTCAGCAGTGTCTTACTATAGTACACAATTGCCTTATTGGATCGGGAAACATGCTGCCACCTCTGAAAGGAGAAAAAGTGGCTCACATGTAAGTAAAATTTGCTTTTTATGAAGATGATAAATGGAATCATCTAGATAAAAACATCAGAGGTTGTTTTGTGCCTCACTTAGAAAGGTTTATCCATCTGATATTGTACATAATAAAAACATATCATAAATTAGATGATTTTTTAAAACTCTTCAATCCTTTCCAGTGACCTTGAAATTCCCGGATGGTCTCTCATCCAAATACTAGTCAAGTCCAGTCCTGCTTATAGTTTTAAAGCCCACACAACATCACTTGTTTTTAGCACTTATACAAATGCAATCCTAAGTACAATAGTAATCAAGAAGTTATATAGCTTCACTATTATTGAAATTTTGTCTTCATTTTCCTTCAAAACAGAAAAAATAGAAATTAAAAGATATAAAATTATAACTCTTAATCTTTAGGAATTGTAACAGTAATTGCTGTTTTATGAAATTAAATTCACTGCATCAAGAGTTCTGTTTAAAGAATATGTATGTGTTATATATCATGCAGGGTTCCAAGTCTAGTGTCATTGGAAGAGATCAAACTTTTTACAGGTGTTGAATATGGTAAGTTAATGCCATTGCATAAATGTTGGAGAAAATTTAATTCATGACTTCATTGATCTCTTATTGAAAGAAAGTTATTAATTCTTATTTTATGTTTTTTTCTGTGAATCTTATAGAAAAATGATAATAATAATTTAATAATTTCATTGAGTTTAATATTGTATGCTGCCAGACTCAATAACTCTGTACGGTTAACAACAAAACAACCAAATTCATTACAATAATATCAATAAAAGCTAAAGATAAAATATGGAAAAGATATACTGTATATGAGCTGGCCAAAGAAGGACATTAAAGTTGTCAATATGAAGAAGCTCCTTACAATGTGAAGGGGTTGGACAGGGTCCTGTGAATATCAAAGCCCCTGCCCTGGACAAAACACTGAGCATCTACGGGTATATCAGTAAAATGGTACCTAAAGATAAGCTATTGAGAGAATGCCTGAGGCAGCAGCAGCAAACATGGGAGAAAAATCAAGCAGAGGAAGTGCCATGGCAAGATAATACTGTGCACAGGGTGTACCACTGACCGATAGCTGAGGTGACATGCATTGGGAAATACTACCAGTGACTGAAAAGGGCTGATCTAAAAGACAATACTGTGGCAATTATCATGGCTGCACAAAAACGAGCACTAAGCAGTAGATCCATAGAAGCAGGAGTCTTATCATATTAAGCAGGACCCAAAGTGCAGACTGTGCAGAGAGGCCTCAGAGAAAGTACAACATGTAGTGCTAAGGTGAAAGATGCAGGCAGGAAGAGAATACTGAACAGAACATCCAAGTAGCTGGCATTGTGTACAGGAACATATGTAAAGTATATGGGCTAGACCCTGATGGAAGATTCCACAGAAGGTTGTGGAGAATAAGAAGGTTAAAATCCTGTGGGACTTCCTGATCCAAACAGACGGGCAGATACTAGCCAGTCAACCAGACTTCATGGTCATAGGCAAGGACAGCAGTAGTGATAGTTCTAATAGTGCTCAGCGATTGAAACATCAGGATGAACGATAATGATAATTTGGAGAAATACTAGGACTTGAAGGAGGAACTAGAGTAGCATTCCTCTGGACAAAGAGATAAGAACAAGCTAAGATACTGGACACAACCCTCAAACTTATCTCAGAAATAAACAAAGATGTTTTGGGTTATATACAAGCCTTATGGGTACATACATTTGGTAAGTATGCAATTATATATGTGTATGGTCCATATAAATCTTTTTCACAACTTGCACAGCTTTGCTGGAGAAAAAAACTATTCCTTTGTTTTTTATTTTTATGTTTCTGCCTCCTTTGACATGTCCTTGCTACATATTGTAATTTATAAACTTTGTAGATAATGAATGATCTTACTTGTTTAGATTTGTCGAAAGAGAATTACAGGGAAAGAATCTGCAAAGTGACAAGGAAACTCCTACGTAAGTGTGCTTTTAGTTATTCCGTTCTCTCATTTTCACTGAATTTGTATAGTAGTTCAATAAAAATCCAGATGGTAAATCAGATATGAAGCAAAGTCCTTTCTTCTTCAGTTTAAGTGAATGAAGGGTGTTTGGTTGTGATGGCTTGAGATTCAGTAGTTTTTTTTAAAAATAGATCTCAGGTCACAATTGGCAGGGTGGAATGTGGGACAATGGATGGAGCTTTCTAGAGTCTCTTTCCTTTTTGGATTGGGGAACTAGATTTTTTTAATGTGGTGAGTGAAGGATGAAGACTATTTTTTTCCTGCTAAAAACAGTAGGCAATTGTATTGTTGTTCCTTGGTAGCTTGCCATCAATATGACAAGAGTGTTGTAACTATGAACAATTAATTTATATTGCTTTGTTTAATTATTTTTTCTTTATTGTAATAGACTTTGTACTTGACAACTCGGAGGATGATACTAAGTCTTTGTTCCTAATCATTAAGGTACAGTTGCAATTTCTAGTGTGATTTCTAAAATGTTAACTTGGATGGATGGCTTTTTCTACATAAACTCAAATTCTTGTTCTACAGATCATTGGGGACCTCTTACATTTCCAAGGTTCACATAAGCATGAGTTTGATTCACGGTGGAAAAGTTTTAACTTGGTGAAGAAATCAATGGAGAATAGGGTTAGTATTTACTATAAATAATTTATTTACACAATTAAGACTTTAAGGAATCTAGGGGGAATTAATGTTCATAGTTAATGAAATTTAAAAAAAGAAATCACAGGTAGCACTGAATATAGTTTTTCCACATGTAAATAATTGATTTGCCTATTTGCAGCTTCAAGGCAAGAAACAGCATATTAGAGCACTGCTCATTGACAGAGTCATGTTACAGCATGAGGTAAATATATGGGTTTTTTTTTTAACCACTGTATGTGGGCTGCCTTTGAATCTGTAGTATCTACAACTTTCATTTATAAAATTTAAAAAAAAACTAATTTGTTCCTTTTTCTTTAGCTAAGAACACTCACTGTTGAAGGCTGTGAATATAAAAAAGTACATCAGAACTTGATCAGGGACCTTCTTCGTTTATCTACAAGTTCATATGGTCAGGTAAGACCTATGCCCCCCCTTTCATTTGATACAAGCAGAATATTAATGGCAGGAGTTTTGAAATAGCTTTTTGCAAGAAATGGAGAGCTATTCCATAATTCATTTGAAATTTCTGAGAACTTTTCTGTGTCAGATTTAATCTTTGGGATGTTATCCTGTACAGATAAACAACAACAGTTCTTTTAGTGACTGTTCAAAGTAACTTAACTGCAGTGATTCACTTAACAAAGGTAGTAAGATAAAGGTTGTAAAGTGAGGAAAAAATTCACTTAAAAAAATTTCATTTAACAACAGAAATTTTGGGCTCAATTGTTTTAAGTTGAGGACTGCCTGTATATCTTTATTTTGAGACTTTGTTAACTTCCTGAATAGCATTTGGTTGTGCCATAGTGCCTCATGATATCCTGCCCATGTAATTACTTTGAGCTAAATGCAGCAGTTACTTCTAACTGCCACTCGGTGGGTGCCTAGAGGGGTTAATTGTAATAGCAACAGCACTTAGACTTATATACTGCCCCATAGTGCTTTACAGCGCTCTCTGAGCTGTTTATGTCAGCACATTGCCCCCAACAATCTGGGTCCTCATTGTACTGACCTCCAAAGGATGGAAGGCTGAGTACTCCTTGAGCCCTGCCAGAATCGAACTCTATACTATGGGCAGTTAGTCTGCAATACTGCATTCTAAACACTGCACCACTTATCTCTGAGGAGATAAGACTATACTGAATTGAATAGTTCAGAAAAACTAGGTGGACCAATTAATGCAGCTGTAATCTGTACCAACAACACACATTTTTTAAAATTTATTTTGTACTCATCCATGGTGGATTTCTACTCACAGAAGCAAGCCAATAAAATTCTTAAGATCTGTCCAGATTATTTGTCTAAATTACAAAATTGCCTCAAAATTGAATTCCATGCAGAATCTTCTAATACTAAGAATCAGTAAAAACAAACAGATGCAGAACAAGATTTTTAATTTTTAAACTTATTTCACAAAAGTTGTTTCAATGCCTTACAATAGAATTATATGTAGTACATAGGTGCTTTTTTAGATTGTAACACTGTTCAGAACCAATCACTATATAAAGTAAAGCTTATTTGTCCTTTGTTTAGCTTTTGTACACATTGCTATGGTGTTTTTGCCTAGGTCAGGAACAAAGCTCAACAAGCATTCTTCACAGCCTTGGGGACTTACAACTTCTGTTGCAGAGACATCATTCCTTTGGTTTTGGAGTTTCTGAGGCCAGATGGGTACAGTGTCACCCAGCAACAATTTAAAGTGAGGAATTTATTAATTTTCTTTACAGCAGGTTCTGTCAATGCCATTGATGGGGCAGATATAATCTCCAGCTATAGAGACTATTTTTGCCATCTTTTAGAGCTCCAGAATAAATTGGCTTCCCCTTCCAATGACATCTGCAGTTGTCTGTTTGGTGAGATGTTACCTCTGCTGATTCAGGACATGTTAACTTAAATAAGCTGATTAAAATGCAATTTTGAATGTTATATATTATGTAAATAACAGGATGATGATTATACGAAAAACAAATATTAAGATTAGTATATCTAAGACTTGTTTCCTTCTCAATTCTTCTGATGAGTTTTTAAAAAATATTTTTAAATTTTAATAATACTTTTAATACAGTTTGGGCGATCAGGTGATTTATTTTTATTGACATATTTGCAATTGAAACCCTGGGCAGCTTTATGAAGCAAAATAAGCTTTTTTGGCTTTCAGTTATCATCATGTTATTTGTTAATGTGATTCATGTGGCATCCATCTTAACTCATGGAAGACTAACAATATTTTAAACCATAATACTAATACATAAACCAGAATACATATAATGACAATCATGGTGAAAAACCTCAATCTGCTGAAAATCAAACAATCTGATCCCTGTGCCTGAAACACATCATTATCTTCATAACAATCTGTGAGATCTTACAAAATTATTCTGATCTTTTAAAAACTGTCAATATGTGAGATTTTAGCAGTTAAAAAGAAACATACTGTTTGGGAGAGAGAAGTAGCAGACACTGTTGCTGGAGCTAATGAAAATTCTGGCACATACAAGTATTGACAATCCCTGTTCTAAAATACAATAAAATAGATCTGCTTTTGTTGTTAGATATTAGGTATTAAGTCAGTAGGATGACATGCTTGATTACTAAACAATGTAGTAACTTAGATTTTATATGTTTATTTTTTACCTCGGGTTGCGAATGTTTCTGTTTATGATCAAATCGGGTTCCGACCAAAAAATCCACCCGATTTTTGAATTGGGTTACGATTCAAAAATCGGGTAGCGAATAAACCCAGCTGCAACAGATTCCCTTTCCGCGCCAATTTCATGTGTAGTCGGTTGTGCTTCCAGTCACGACCAAATCGGGTTGCGACCATAGTCCTGGAATGGATTACGGTCGCCACCTGAGGTTCAATGGTACTTAGAGGCTTGTAAGTTTGAGGTATGTGAAATTATGAGTATTTCCTGCCTTTTTTCATCCTTTTATTTAGGAATAAGATATAGTCCTATTAAAAAACAATAAAGCTTAAAAGAATATTCAACAGCATTTTTGCAACCTTTGTATATAGTATTGTTGGAAATGGTTTTCTGATGGGTTTTTAAGATGGTATGTGAAACCCTTAAGCTGCAGACATCAGTAGTCAATCCTGAGTAGACTCTATCAGTGGTTCTACTGTAGAAACATTGTGGAAATCACTTGATTTTATGTTTCACAAACTATTATTATAAACAAAGAGATAATAGGCTACTGCAATTGGAGAAGAATTCCAACTGTATGTCAATAATTCTGTCTAAAATTTCTTTTCCATAGGGTGCCTTGTATTGCCTTCTTGGAAATCATAGTGGAGTATGTCTGGCAAATCTTCATGATTGGGACTGCATTGTCCAAACTTGGCCTGCAATTGTCTCTTCTGGACTTAGCAAAACAATGTCTCTGGAAAAGCCTTCCATAGTTAGACTCTTTGATGACCTTGCAGAGAAAATCCATCGGCAGTATGAAACAATAGGACTGGATTTTACTGTAAGCGTGAAATAATTACATCACTTGCAATTGTTTAGGAATGAAGCCTGGTTACTTAGAGACTATGTGTCTCCTGTTAGTATCTGTCCAGCCAGTTTGATTTGGTGGGTTTGGTGTGCTCTGGCATGGATAGATACGTTGCCTAAATTTTGATGGTAATCTAGATGGGGATCTAGACTAAGTCTATATGTCTTGCACAGAAAGTGGGGAAGTAGATGCCAGTGCCAGTGAGTTTGGAGTAATAGGAGGGTTATATTAGTTCTTACATGAACACTTGGCAATCTGATTATAAACTGGAATGCAAAAATTTCAGTATAATAAAGAAGTAGGATACAGTAATTTCTGCACACTTGGAAATAATACAAGTTTAAAACTATATGGTAGTATCAATAGCAGTTATCTTTCATTGAGCTTCGTGGTGGCCTAGAGGTGGAACTTTTGCTTCACAATCAGGAGGCTGTGAGCTCGATCCTAGGTAGCAGCAGATGTTTCTGGGAGCGAAGAGAAAATATCTGCTGTGAGCTCTCTGTAGGCATCAAGAAGGGCATCTGGCCAGTGAAAGTTCAGTCTCACTGACTCCACCCTGATGCAAGGGATTACAAAGTTGTTAAAAGAAAAACAAAATAGCAGTTACCTTTTCATAAATTATCTGCTCTGGCCTCATCCATCTTGCATCCTTTCTGAATTCCACAACCAAATATAGATGTGACAAGAAGTATTGATATCCCTCCAAAGTAGTTCTCAACTTATGACCGATCACTTAGCGACTGTTGGAAGTTGTGATGGACCCCCCTAAAGGTACTTATAACCTGGTTCCAAAGTTCCAACAGTGACTCCCACAGTCAATAATTAAATTTTGGACATTTTGCAACTGGCCGTGGCTCATTATCATATGACCACAATTTATAATGTTTTTTCCAACGTTTACTTCTGGTTTTCAGCAAAGCCACCCATAGCAAACAATGGGTTTGCTTAATGACCACTCCAAAAAACGTCTACTCCAAATGTAATTGATAGGCTCCATTGTGGTCATAAGTTGTGGACTGCCTATACTTTTTTTCCAAAGAATCCCAATTTGCTGTGAAGTAAGTTGAAACTGACACATGTAAATGGCATCCACAATTTTGTACTCCATAATTCATAGAGTAAGCATTTTGCTTTGCTTGTTTATATTTGCTTTTATTTTTGTAAATAATAGAACAAATGAAAATGGCACGGGCCTAATTATAGGTAACCCTTAGCAGTTAAAATACATTAATTGGATTTTGGTGCTTTCTCAAACAGACATTTTGCTTCAGTTTTTTCATTCCGATCAACAATCAGTTGGCAAATTGGGATTGGGGAAATGGAAGTGTATTAATACTTTTGACTGCATCTACGTTCTAGAATATTGAAAGTAAAACAGTGAATACATCTTTGGGATACTGTTTCGTATCGTTCCCTGGGAATAATCACTTGTTGTATTAGAATCTTTCTTATGTCTCCCTATTTCTCTAGGTCCCAGAGACATGTATTGAAGTTGCAGTTCTCATGCAGAAGTCAGTGGGTCAAAATGGTGAATGTACCAGCCTTAGTTTAGAAGAGATTGAGCTAGGAATTCAGCGACAGAAAGAAAGGAATGCCGAGTCCTCTCAGTAAGTGAATCTTTAACATTTTCATTTTTTATACCTGAAACCAAAGCCTATTAAGACTTTTTAAACTTTGAATCAGATTATTGCCTTTTGGTCTAATATGACTATTAAAATGCAACATGATTATAAACCTCTTCAAGCAAATGATGTTCATTTGAAAGGCTCCATATATAGCATTTTTAGAGAAGTTTCTTCTGACTGCTGATTGCTATAAAGAATTGCATTCTATATGCAGTGGCCCATGGATGATATCCTGTCTTTTGCTGAGATATGCTAGTACATAAATGTTCTTTTTCATTTTCAGAAATTATGAAAATTTGATAAATAAGCTTCTAGATTGTGTGAATCAAAGAAATCTGTGAGTATGAGTATATCTTTCTCAAAATGTGGTTCATGTGTTTTTTTTATTTGGGCTGTGAGTTGGCAACCATTGAGAAATTGGTAGTCACCATTCAGCTTTGTAACTGCAAGAAGCTTTCGAGGGATGGGATGACATCGTTGGAAAGGACAGAACCAATTTCGAAAGGCTTTGTGGAGAAAGAACTTATCAATAACAATAAAAGCAAAAAGCACTTTGGAAACAAACCATCTTTATCTTTAAAACCTCAGCCATGCCCTAAAAAATAAGTTGTATTATACTGCTTATATTCTGTTGCAAAATGGCTGAATTTCTGCAGTATGGCTTTGTGCTAGAAGAGATGGCAGTGTTAAAGATGGTCAAGAAAATGATTTGGTTCCGAAACCCTTCTGTTTCTTATGATCACTTTTGAGAGCAAAAGTGAAACAAAAAACTTGATGCTGCAAACATGGTGCTGTTTTGTTGCTGAATGTTGGGTGTTTATGGCACCTTCTAGGCAGTGAGTTGCTCATCCCAGGATCATACCATATCCCATTCTCCACCCAGTTCAGTGAAAATTCAGTGAACATTTAAGAGTTATGCCTTCCAGATTTTATTTTGTATAATTGGGAATCCGTTTTCTTTCTTCCAGCCCTTGGAAGTTTGAGCACATTGGCATTGGTTTCCTGTCCCTACTTTTAAGGGATGACAGAGTGCTACCTGTAAGAGCCATAAATTTTTTTGTGGAATGTCTAAATCATGATGTCTTGGTGGTTCGCAAGGTAAAAGGCTAACTGGTTTAATTATAGTAAAACATGTTTGCGGATATTGATTCCATTATTCATTCCCTAGAGTGGATTCATGTGTGCTTTCTTCACATGACAGAGTATTTGTTTTTCATCTTATGAATGAGTTTTAGTGTTTCCAGACTACCATTTTATTTTTAAGTAGAGTTTGCTTGAGATGTGTAGATTTTTCTAGAGATGTGCAGGCTAGCAGAGTTGCCCAATTCACAGAGGGAAAGTCTTCAGTGAAGTATTATACAAGCACAAAACATACTGTTTGTCTACATAGTTTGCAATCTTTGATAGACATTAGCTTTCCAGTCTTAGGCAAGGGATTTGTTTATTATCAACTACTTAATCCAGAAACTTTCTATATGTACAGTGAATAGGCTTTACCACCAAGTTAAAAACCCTTCCTTAAAAGGCTTTTAATCCATCTATTAATACTTAACACAACTTTTAAAAAACTTTTAATATATTGTTCCACATATTTAGAAATACTTTTAGGACCATAAAGATCTGTTCTAAATGCTTATATATAAACACAGTAGAGATTAGAAAACCCAAATCTTATATGTTGTTCTAACCTAAAAAAAAACCTAAATGAAGTAAACAAAACCCTACCCAATTAATTTTATATGCTGACTATTTCAACACACACTTGAACCTTACACATAATGTTTTTATATGTAGGAGGAATGTTATGAGAAGAATGTGCCATCTTAACAGGATCTGTGTTTCTCCTTTCATTTGTTTTAAAATAAAATGAGCTAACTCTCATTTGTCTGTGTAGATGGCAATCTCTGCTGTGGCTGGCATCCTTAAGCAGCTGAAAAGGCCCCACAAAAAGATGCTCATTTGTCCTTTCCAAATCAGTAAGTGCACTAAAGAAAAACAACTGTCTTTCAGTAATGACAATTTAAGTTAGTTAATATTAAGGGAAATATGAGCTAAACATCTGTTAACTTGCAGTCTTTGTATCTGCCATCAATTTCTTCTGCCTAATGTTTCAACTATGTTATTTCGTTTTTAACTGACCACCATATCTACTGCAAATTTAGTTGATTTTCATAGTTAATAACATTAAATTTTCCATTGGCATTAAAATATTGAAGTGCTGCATCTTGGAAATATTCTATTGATTGGGGAGAGAAATAGTGGAATTGTTGGTGCTCTCTGAGTTTGTTTGTTTGCAGACATTTTATGGTTTATCTCTATGTGCCTATTGATGGCTGATTTGTCTGAATGCCAAGTTTCCAGGCACTTCATAGCATTTTTGGATTGGTGTTCGTCTGCTACTGTGATGCTGTGCGGCTGTAATAATATGTTGGTTGTTTCTAAGATGTTTTTGATGTATAATAATGTTATCTTTTTCCAAATTTATCCAATTCCAAATCAGAAACAGTCAGCAGATTTACATCCACATTGTGCCATCATAGCACACAAACCAGTCAACTCCTCCTTCAAGAAGAAAAAAGCAGATATAATCTGCAGCATATAATGTAAGGACTATAACAGCCACCATGTAGGACAGATTGGCAGAAATCTAGCAGGGTGTTCAGTTAGTTACCAGTTAGAAGACGTGATGAAAACTACTTGCTTACAACACACAGATAGACTTAACTACAATTTCAACTGGGAAACTGAGCATCTTAGACCAAGCCAAATCCAAAAATTCTACAGAATATCTGGGCAGTTGGCATTCAGACAGATCTCCCATAATAGAGATAAACTACATCTACATACAATTCAAAAGAGACAATAAAAAAGTTAAAAAGTTAAAAAGGAAACAAAAAGACCAGTACACATCCTCCCCAGCAGCTAACACCCAGATAAATAGGATTAGCATCAGACATACAAGCAGAAAACAAATCAAGGAGCTACCCAGGAGAAAACCACATCCCCACTAACATTGGCAGGGCACTCTACTGTATATAAACAGGAAGCAAAACACACACTTATTTGCACTGATGATGTTACTTGGCCAATGAAACATCTACAAGCAAGAAGCCAAGCTTTGAGAGCACCAAGGACTCCACAATTCCACCCCCAGCTCTCTTCTATTGGAGATATTAAATTAAATTTGCCAGCTGTAAGCTTGATTGTAAGTTAGTTATTGTGGTCCCCTGTTCCTCAAGTCTTATAAAGTCCTCAGTATTTATGTGTGAATCTTCAATTCAGATGTTTGTAAAAAGTTGTTAAAGGGTTAATCCACTGGTTGTCAGTTAACTGACTTTCAGGATCCTGCAGTCTGTTTTCTGAACTGATAACATATTTTCATAATTTTAGTTGTAGAAAAAATGCTGATGGAAATAAGAATTAAGAACTTTTTATGATTTAAATCATTCTTTGATTGTTATCCTGGAGTATAGAAATGGCTATTACAATTTTTCCTACTGATTACCTGCCAAATCTGAACTTCCCCAGTTTTCTAGGCATTTATCTTATATCAAGGAGGGATGAACAATCTAGTTTAAAGCAACTAATTTGTAGAAAAATGACTATTTTAATGGGTGTTTTATTGTGGTACTTGTTTTAGTTTTAAGAATATTAGTTAACATATTTTGGTTCCTTGTGGGACTGTACTAGTTATGTTGCTATTTGAAACAGATGCTTCATGGTTTCCGTTTTTAAAAAATACAATTATTCAGAATTGTGTGAATTAGCGACAGCTGGCAATAATTGTGGGCAGCAATATGTCCTGAGTGAAAATAGGAATATCAAGCATCTACTGATAAATTTAAAAAGAAAAGCATTTTTCTCTTTCACAAACAGGTGGATCCCCACAGCCTTCTAATATCCAGGCAGGTGACAGATCTGATAACCAATGGCTGCATTATGACAGTGCTAATTTACCAAAGACTAAACAAAATTGGGAGGCCTGCTGTTTTGTGGAAAAAACACATTGGGGATACTACACTTGGCCTCAGTAAGTATTGGCTTCTGTCTTTCTGCCCTCTTCTATAGTATGAAAGTCAGTAGAGTCACTTCATAGCTTCCATTCAAGTTGCCTTACTGATGCAAACCTTGTCCTGCTTATGCTTGATTTGCTAGAGCAGTCATTTATTTCTTCCATATATTAAATCCTTTTGGCTTTCTATATTTGATAATATAAAGGTTAGAAAGATGTGAACCTGAATTTACACTTGCTAAATTGTGACTTTGAAACAGTGAACCAGGAAGTGGTATTTTTTATTTTGCCATTCAATATTGTTTGAAGTTCACTTTTTTCCCTTACAATTTCTAGAAATATGGAAATCTATGCTTCTGTAGAAGAGCAACCAAAACTTGGGAGGAGTAGAAAGGAACTTTCAGAGGTGATGTTATATTTTAAAAATGTGCTCACAATTTATCTTGGTCTGATATTTCACTTTCAGCATATTTTTCCCCTTCATTTTATAACTGATTAACCTTAGAATAACTTAAATTATTCAAAGTTATCTGAATTCCAGAGTACTGAAATTCAAATGCATATAATAATATGTTAATAGAATCAATTATGTGCTTGGATCATACAGCCCTAGTGCTTATATCAAAATACAGTATGAAGAAATGTTTATGTGAGTCATCATAGATTTATCTCCTGACTCTTTACACCTTTCTGCCTCATATATAGTGATATTTTCTGTTTGCCTGGAATCTGTTCACACAATGAACAGGCAGTTAAAAAGTAACAGTGTTTGGAGAAATCATGTGGTTTTGCATACATGTGTCAGGAGTCTATATTAGAAAAATGAAATTAGTTTTGATTTTTTAAAAGTGAGAGTTAAATATATTCAGCACTGGCATGATACTAAACCATTTGTCCATTTACCATAGCAGTGATTTCTTTAAAATAGGTGATTTTCAATTACCTGAATTCCGGATATTGTTCTTGTTACCATTTATATATGGAAGCTTTTGACTGGATTCTTTCCATTAATTTATCATGTCACACTGATTCTGCAGCACATTGATAAGTCCCTTCTCAGGTCACAAATTCTTTGAATTGGAAGTAGGAAGATGAGATATAAAAGTATTCATTCAATTTTAGTTTTCTATAGAAAGCAAGAACATATTCACAATTGCAAAACTATATGTCTCACTTATTTTGGCCATGTCATGTGGGGGAAGTCACTGGAGAAAGCAATTATATTTGGAAGAGTTACTGATAAAAGGAAACCAGCCTACCAAAGAACACAGTGATTGGACATCATCAAAGCTGACACCAGCAGAGCATAGGAAAAATTCAAGTAGTTCAAGGTCAGAAGATGGGGAGAGACCTGGTCCATAGAATCCCCCAGGAGTCTGAAAGGATTACGTCATCATCATCACCACCACCACCATCATAGAAAATTATAGCATGAGGAGTTCTAAGGCTGACAATTAAAGAACAGTTTGTTCTTGCAAGAATGTATCAGTTATACATTTTTCAGGTTTTCTGATCTAAAGATTAAAGTATCTAATTAGGGGGACCATATGTACAGTATTTTCCCAACATACTGTACATATGGTAAGCAATTTTTAGTTCTGTTTAAATTATTATTTATTTTATTTTACAGGCGGAGCAAGTCATTTATGATCACTTTTCTGATCCTAATTTTGTTGAGCAGTTAATCAAGTTTCTTTCTTTAGAAGACAGAAAAGGAAAAGATAAATTTAATCCACGAAGGTTTTGCCTCTTTAAGGTAAATGATTATCTAATATTTTGCTTCTTTTCTAGGAAATATGTCGAGCCATGTGTTAAAGCTGTTTAAGAAAAAAAATCCATGGAGTTAAGCCTTTGTGATTCTTCTATCACATATATCGCTCTGATTCTGGGGTTTATCAAAATTTCATCTATCATAATTTATGGAAAAATTCTGCCTCAAGTGCCCTTTACACACTGTTCTTTCTGGCTTGTATACAGCCAGAGTTTTCCATTCTGTCAAGATTGGAGAAATTTAGTTTAATGGTAAATAAGACAAGATAATAAGAAAGTCTAATGAACTGCCACTATTGAAACCAATCCATAATATTCAGCTTATTGCCTTCTGTAAGACTTTCATAACAAGAGAGCCATTTAAAATGGTTGTACAACCACCTTCTCACACGTAACATGCAGGCACACTCATTTGTCCATTTACACTACACTCCATTTAGCTTGGGTTAAGGCAGTGAGGTTTTCTGATACAATCTTATTGCTTTATAATTTTCCTCACAGCTTAATAATCAAATTTTCAGACTTACGTGGAATTGTGGAAATGTGGTGTTCAGATTATAATTTAAGGACAATGGCAAAATGTACTACTTTTTTCTAAAGCTCTTCAGTGCTTTTCTCTTAATAATGGCTTGTATATAATTTAATTTTGAAAATGGTAGCTCAATTAGCGTTTATAGTAAATTGCATTAAAAAGGCATTAAATACATGCAGAACACTTGTGGCTTGGAAAAATTCCTTCCCCTCTAGATATTGTTGATATTCAACATTTTAAAACATATTTATCATTTTGGAATGATTAAATTAGGTTTATTCCTTTTTATAAATGTAATAAGAAGCATTAAGGATTAAAGTCAAATTTGTGTGTTATTTCCCTAGGGTCTTTTTAGAAATTTTGATGATACCTTCTTACCTGTATTGAAACCACACTTAGAACGTCTTGCTGAAGATTCCCATGAAAGTCCTCAACGCTGTGTGGCTGAAATTATAGCTGGTTTGATAAGAGGGTCTAAACATTGGACATTTGAAAAGGTAGAGCACATTTCTATGAATTTTGCAAATATATTTGATTCAGATCTCATATACACCAGAATTATGCTGAATTACTGAAGAAAAGTATAATGTTTTAGTTTGCCTGATATAGGTGGTTTTCGTGTATATAGATTGGTCTGAGGGATTTTATTACATAAATACTTGAATGTTTTATATACCAGTGGCTATAGAAATTAAACAAACAAACCAATCAAAGGTCACTCACTCTCTCAAACCCAGGAAGCAAGCAATGGCAGTGGCATTTCCAAGAAAATTGCAGGGACTTCTCCAGGATTAAAGATTGATTTGAAGGCACTCACACATATAAATAATTAGTTTGAAATTAGGAATGTTTAAATATGGAACAGATATTTCCCTCTTGCTTTCTGAACTACAGTATTAACACAGCCTATGCTTTCAATATGTGGTGTTTTTTGGTTCCTCGAAAACTAAGTTGCATGAATTCTGACAGAAATCAACTTTTCCTATATGTGTTCCATTCTAATAAAAACAAAATTGTTTGGAATTACAGGTGCCATGTATTAATACATTATTTTTCTCATCATGTATAGGTGGAGAATCTCTGGAAAGTTCTCTGTCCACTTCTTAGGACAGCTTTATCCAATATTACAGTAGAAACTTACAATGACTGGGGGACATGTATAGCAACATCATGTGTAAGTCTTCTACATTATTTTTCACTCTGCCATGTTATGAAAGCATTCTCCATTTTTCTAATACTGGCTCCATCCGTGAATATGGGGAAAATAGCCTATACTGAAAATAAATTATAGCTTTTGACTATTCTAATTTTAGTTTTTATCTAGAAAGAGGAATGGAAATACTTTTATGATGACTTGTTACATTGATTATATATATGTATGTTCAGAATTCTAGTACTGTAGAGGTTTTATTTGGAAGAATCTTTTGTTGGATTTCTCGGTGGAATTTATTGAAAAAGCATAGTTATGTTATAAAATTCACTGTGAAATATAGTATCAATATTGGATGCTGAATTGTCTCTTAGCAAGTTACATTAGGATATATATTTTCAGGAAATGATTTTGCCCCCTTTTCCTTTAAAAAAATAAATAAATATAGGAGAGCAGAGATCCCAGGAAATTGCACTGGTTGTTTGAATTGTTATTGGAGTCTCCACTGAATGGTGAAGGAGGATCATTTGTTGATGCATGGTAAGGAAAAAAAAATCTCATTTATTAAAGCATGGATGAAAATAGAACATTTATTTATGCTTGTTTTGCTTTTAACCATATGATAATCATCAGAATAGCATTTGAGTAGCCATGTGTACAGTTAGAACAATTAATCAGTGGAACAACTTGCCTCCAGAAGTTGTGAATTCTCCAACAATGGAAATTTTTTAGAAGAGATTAGACAACCATTTGTCTGAAATGGTATAGACCAGGGTTTCCTTCCTGAGAAGGCCTCCAAGGTCCTTTCCTATCTGTTATTTCTGTTATTCTGTTATAAGTGATTATAGCATGCTATTTAGATGGCTATGGAAAATACGCTTAAATCTTACTGATTTGCTTAGCAACATTTTAAGCAAAAATTGTGGACACCCACTGGTCCTGATGTAATTATATTTGTATCCCTTGGTCACCATCTGAGTATAGTTGAAAAAAATCAGCAAGATTTTTCAGAAAACTAGGATAGTTAAGCTTTTACAGTTACTGTTCTATTGGGAGGTAGAGATTTCTTCTCTTAAGTATACAGTACAGTGACATAGTTCTCCTATGTATTTACAGTTATATGTACATGCAAAAAAATATAATGCTGTGTACATAATAAATAGTAACACAGGTTAGAGCCCAAAATTGAATAGTTCATTTGTTTGATGTAAGTTTTGATATGATTTACTTTTTAAAAACACATGGCATAGTTGCTAATTAGCCCACTCTTTTCCCTAGCTAAACATAGAACGACTGTCTTTTATGAACAAGAGCAGGGTAAGGCATTTGGATTTTGCCTTATCTTTGCAGAAGATGGAAGTCCACTTCTGTAAAGTTACCATCCCTTCACTAACTTTTTCTTCTTTTTACCGTCTAGTCGTCTGTATGTTTTGCAAGGGGGTCTTGCACAACAAGAATGGCGAGTGCCGGAATTGCTGCACAGATTGCTGAAATACCTAGAGCCTAAGCTCACCCAAGTTTATAAAAATGTCAGAGAGAGGATTGGAAGGTTAGTATTAAGGCTAAACTACGTCATATGTTTTTCAGCCTTTAGATATCTCATAAAATTGTCACTTTGTTTATATGTACTCCAGAAATAAGAACAAGGAAAAGTGATTTGATTAGTTTGAATTGAGTCTTTAAGGCATGAAACTGAATTAAAAGTGCGTTCTTGTGTTTTATGCAGTGTTTTGACATACATCTTCATGATAGATATTTCTTTACCAAATACTGCACTAACAAAGTCTCCCCGTGTCCATGACTTCACTTCTCGAATACTTGAAAAACTTAAACCTCTTATGGAAGTGGATGAAGAAATTCAGAATCACGTTTTGGAAGAAAATGGAATTGGAGATGAAGATGAACGAACTCAGGGCATTAAACTACTGAAAACTAGTAGGTGCTTGTGTTAAACGTGTGAGAACCTAATTCAATGTTCACTTGTAGTGAAATGCCATTTAAAGGAAAAACTTGTTCAGAAGAGATGAAGTTGTGTTTTGTTCTTTGTCTTTGAATTGAGAAGTGTCTTTCTTTTACTTGGCAGTTCTAAAGTGGTTGATGGCAAGTGCAGGGAGAGCTTTTTCTACAGCTGTTACAGAACAGCTTCAGCTTTTGCCATTGTTTTTCAAGGTAAGTAGTTTGATATACAGCTTGATCTGTTTAGATGACAAGACTATTTCCCAGTAACACTTAACGTTTTAATAATGTGTGAATGAAGCTTCATTTAAACAAATAGCACGTACGGAAATCAGGCCATATAGACAACCCATTATATAAATTACATTAAATGTTTGAATTGATTGCCATTTCTTCTAAACATTTCCTTATTTGATGCATAATCTTTGAAAACACTGCAGGGAAATCTTTTAAAGACTGCCACTTGCAGACTTCCAGCTGTTAATCCTGCTCACATCTTGTTTTAGTTTCAGGGCTGTGCAGAAAGGTTGCTTACTATAGAAATTTCAAAATGTCCCAGACATAAAAAACATACTATTTGAGAATGCATGTCTGAAATAAGTTTTGTTTGTACCTATTATTATTATTATTATCCGTGCTTTTTAAATCTCTTTTTCCAGATTTTGATTAGATATTTTCATATTGACAGATACCTGTGGGGAATTAACTATTTAGAGTCACTACAGTTAAAAACTTTTTAGCTATATTTTAATGACATAATAGTTTGAATTGCTTTCTGCATATTGCAGAAATGGTTTATATTTTAATCCATACCAGTACAGTTTGTATTTGACAGTTCATTTAGTGACCATTCAAAATTACAACGGCACTGAAAAAGGTGACTTATGACTGTTTTTCATGCTTAACAACCATTGCAGCATGCCCTATGATCACATGATTAAAATTCAGATGCTTGGCAACCAATTCATATTTATGATAATTGCAGTGTTTCAGAGTCATGAGATCAACTTTTGTGACCTTCTGACAAGCATAATCAATGGGGAAGCCAGATTCAATTAATAAACCTGTTTTTAACTTAACAACTGCAATGATTCACTTAACAACTGTATCAAGAAAAGTCATAAAATGGGGCAAAAATCATTTAATCAACCATCTTGCCTAGCAACAGAAATTTTGGGTTGAATTGTGATTGTAAATTGAAGTCTACCTGTATAGCATTTTAGGAGTTTTAGCTTCTGTATTAATTATATTAGTTTTCTTAGAGATATTAAATTGCTGTTTTCCAATGTGCCTTGCATTTATTCAGTTTTAAGGATCAAGACTTCACTAGTTGTCTTCACTAACTTTGCATCTGTTTTGTTTTCACAGATTGCACCTGTAGAAAATGATCATAGCTATGATGAATTGAAGAGAGATGCTAAAATGTGCTTATCATTAATGTCTCAGGGATTGCTGTATCCTCAACAAGTGCCTTTGGTACTTCAGGTGCTAAAACAAGTATGTGATGCTTTTTAAATTGATAGTTTTAAACAGCATACTTACATATATTTAATCTTGTGTTAGTAGTTTTTTTATATCTGTGCTGAAAAACATAGGAAATATGTTTGATCTGAATACACAAGAGACTGCAAAAGTGGAGGTTTTTGTTGATTATCATATTTGAATTATAGTAGAATATTGTTCAGAGAAATTATCTATGGCATATCCTCTGGGTTTTAGTGCATTTCAGCTAGCTAGAGGTCATCTGTAGCCCAATTCACCTTGTCTGACTTCATAAAATCCCTGTGATAATGAGATTGTAACTCAGTGAATAGTTTGGGACATATTTTATTATAATAATAATATAATATTATAATTCCTTCTGTGTCCAATGATACTTGGCCAATAAAGAATTCTATCATATTCACAGGAGTAATCCAATGTAAAATTATTAACTTTTTCTGACAGGAATAAAAAAATACACTTAGTTAAATTATAATAAAGAACAAACATGTCCCTACTGAACTGTCAAATCTATTTTGGGAAAAAGGTTGATCTTAGCAACAGGAAATAGGTCACTTTAAACAAAGCTGTAGACAATAATCATGCTTTGATATTCAGATTGCCATGATGTAATCCCCAAAAATGGTTTCTTTGTTCAGTTGGATTTGCTCTTTAACAACACTCCAGGCATCTCTTCTTGCATTTCATGTCCCTGAACTTCAGAAGACCAAGAATCCAGAATCAATACACAGTGAGGAGCAATCCAGTCTAACTTATCCATTCCATTTCTTGCCCATTCTAGGACATGGCTAAAGCATCACTTGATCCCATCCAATCAGATCCTCAGGAAAAACCCCAGGGACCTCAGAGTCCCCTAGTTTTGGGGAACAGATCAACCTAATGAGTCTATTTTTAAGGGATACAGATAGTCCTTGCTTACTAATTGCTCGTTCAGCAACCATTTGAAGTTATGACAGTACTGAAAAAGGAGATTTAAGACCCTATAATCATGTGATCATAATTCTGATGCATGGCAATTGTAATGGATTTATGACAGTCATGGTTTTCCACGGTCACATGATCACCATTTGCGACCTTCCCAGCCAGCTTCTGAAAAGCAGTCAGCGGGGAAGCTGACAAAGCCACACAGTCACCTGATATTATATTTGATGACCATGGGCGATTCACTTAATGACTGCAGCCAAAATTGACATTATAAGACATTGTGGTAGTGATATATCACTTTATGATTGCATTAGCAGTGCTTAGCAGTGAAGTTGCCAGTTCCAATGCAGCTTGTAAGGGTGGATTACCTGCATAAGCATTTTTTCTTTAACAAGTTCCACCTGGCCAAAGGAGGAGAAAAATGTGTTGAAAGACAGGAAAGTAAATTGTAATGTATATGTTTGGGGGTGGGTGGATGGGTGGGAATTGTACTTCTTACACCGTAACAGGTTCAGGGCTGACATTATAGAGCAGAGATGTGCAACTGTTTCCATGTTGAAGGTTACACTTAGCCTTTGAGAGGGAAGGGAAAACAAGTAAATGAGAGAGATTAGCAGCAATCTGCGAGATGAAATTTCAAGCATATTAATTAAAAAAATGTTGAAAAATCATCAACTATTATAGATGAATTCTGGAAAGTTTTCTGCATGGTCAACAGTTTGATTTAGACTTTATTGTACTTTATTTTTCTAATTTCTGTGGTTCTATTATTTTGGCCTCTTCTTTTTATCTTTTTATAGATTGCAAAGAGTAATTCCTGGCATGCTAGATATACTGTGCTAACCTACCTCCAGACTATGGTATTTTATAATCTTTTTATCTTCTTAAACAATGAAGAAGCTGTGAACAACATCAGATGGCTGGTTATAAAACTATTAGAAGATGAACAGCTTGAGGTAAACACATTCTTATGCTTCTATTTGTTTATTTTGACAATTTGTGAAAAACTTATTTGTGGAATAAATGTGGAACCACAGACCTGGACATGATACGCGTGCTTGGTGAGCAAATTAAATACATGGCAATTTGCTATGGTATTCCAATGTTTTCTCAATATTGCCCTTCCTAAATGATAGTTCATCACAATTTTAACTACCGTGTTTCTCCAACAATACGGCCTCCACCAATAGGAAGGCCCAGCATGTTTTTTGGGCATAAAATCAAATTAAGCCCCTCCCCCCAAATTTAGGCCTATTTTAAAATATGCAAAATAAGGGGGAAGGGCGGGGAGACTTGCCGTTAGGAGCGCCCGGCGGGCCGGAATTCCTCGCCACCAGCCGCTCCTAACGGGCGATCATGGCCAAGCACAGAGAGCTCCCTACTCCCACCTTTGCTGCAGACACCTTTGGCACCCGCCGCTGTTGCTTTCCCTTCTGCCCATTACGCCACCACGTTTGGAGCTGCCGCTTCCGTGTTTGGAGTGCGGTCGCCATTTGGAGCTCCAAACGCGGAAGTGGCAGCTCCAAACATGACGGCGGGCGATCTTTTTATTTTGGTCCACGCGAAGTTCAAAGCGAGCAAGAGAGGGAGACTGCGATGCCTCCATCCAAGATGGCAACCTCACTAGTGGATCACAACGTGGCTGGAAGCCCGAATCGGCGGGATACGATGGCGATCTTTTTGGAGCGAGAGGAAAGGGAGAGAAGAGTTGCGAGGCGTAATTTGCAGGAGGAAGTGGGTGTACCCCACGGCAGGGAGCCCAAGGAAGAAGGGCTGGTAGGCAACGGAGAGTGTCCCGTAGCTCCGGAAGCAGCCTAGAGACACGCCCGGGAAGAGGCACAGATGCTGCCTTGTAGTCCCCAAGCCAACTGTGTGCGCCGCCTTTAGTTATGTGCGCTCCGCGCTTTGGGCATCTCCGTGTGATCACGATCCTGTCCTTTCCACCTGGCGCCCTTGCTGCTTTCTGGCTCTTTAGCAAGGCATCGCGGTCTCCCTCTCATGCTCGCTCTGAACTTCGCGCGGACCAAAATAAAAAGATCGCCCACCGTCATGTTTGGAGCTTCCGCATTTGGAGCTTCCGCCACCGTTTGTAGCTCCAAACAGCGGCAGTGCTCCAAACAAGAAGCCGGTTGCTAAAGAGCCAGAAAGCAGCAAGGGCGCCAGGTGGAAAGGACAGGGTCGCGATCACACGGAGGTGCCCAAAGCGCGGAGCGCACATAACTAAAGGCGGCGCACTCAGTTGGCTTGGGGACTACAAGGCAGCATCTGCGCCTCTTCCCGGGCGCGTCTCTAGGCTGCTTCCGGAGCTACGGGACACTCTCCGTTGCCTACCAGCCCTTCTTCCTTGGGCTCCCTGCCATGGGGTACACCCACTTCCTCCTGCAAATTACGCCTCGCAACTCTTCTCTCCCTTTCCTCTCGCTCCAAAAAGATCGCCATCGTATCCCGCCGATTCGGGCTTCCAGCCACGTTGTGATCCACTAGTGAGGTTGCCATCTCGGATGGAGGCATCGCAGTCTCCCTCTCTTGCTCGCTTTGAACTTCGCGCGGACCAAAATAAAAAGATCGCCCGCCGTCATTTTTGGAGCTGCCACTTCTGCGTTTGGAGCTCCAAATGGCGGCGGCACTCCAATCACGGAAGCGGCAGCTCCAAACGTGGCAGTGGAATGGGCAGAAGGGAAAGCAACAGTGGCGGGTGCCAAAGGTGTCTGCAGCAAAGGTGGGAGTAGGGAGCTCTCTGTGCTTGGCCAAGATCGCCCGTTAGGAGCGGCTGTTGGCGAGGATGCAAGGGGGGGAATTAAGTCACCCCCCGAAAAGACGGCCTAGCCATTTTTTCGGGGCTCAAAAAAAAATAAGGCCCGGCCTTATTATGTGAGAAACACGGTAGTAACCTCTCCATTGCTCAGTAAAGGTTTTCCAGTACTGGCTATACATTTATTCCTTAATGATCCATTAGATTTTAGATTTAATTTTTTGGTGAGTACTAAGTCTTAAAAGAAATATGTTTAACTGTAACCTAGTGGGAATTAAAAACAGCATGCTAAAGATGCTTATCACTGAGTATATTATTATACTCTCAATATATACTGAGTATATATTATAACCTTATGGTATGCTTTGCTTTGCACTAGTACCAAATACTACTTAATTATTACATAGTTAGATGAAATACCCTTGCTTATCACATTCCACCTGCTGATACCAGATAATAAAATGTTGTATGAAATAGGTATTGGAGATGTAACAATTTTCTCTCAATGCAGTCCCTTTAGAAGGGATGCAGTCAAAATTCATGAGGATGCTACTTCTTTGTACCCAGATGTGTAGAAGATTCCTTTTGAAGATGAGAAGCGGAAGTGATCTCATTAGAGACCTGAATCTGATTTTGCCATCCTAAAATATTGTTTATACTTCAAGCCAGCCTTCAGCTGCCTTGAACTTACAAGATAAATATTATTCCTTTGTCTAATTGAAGATTGTGGATTTTCCACTTAATATTTAGTCTCAACTAGCAATGAGAAAGCTTTGTTGGAAATAAAATTAAAATTAGTGCCACACTAGTGCAAGATCTTCTGTGCACTTGTCAATGATAAGAAATTTATTCAATAATTCAGGTCCTTTTGTCATGCCTGTTATTCAAACTGATGTAAAAGTTTTATTTTTCCACATCTTTTTATCTTGTTTTACAATCGTGCTTAATGTTGTCACTAACTGTAATAGCACTACTGCTACTGACAAAGTAGTAATATCTATCAATGTAGGGCCATATCATACTTTATGGATGTCAGATCTTTGGAAAAAACCAAATGTATAAGTAACATCAAAATGTGAAACATTTGGTTCTTATTCCAGTGCGAATGTAGATAATCAGGCAGGCTCCTGAAGCTATCATTTAAAACACTCATAAACTCATATAGAGCAATTTATTCTCTTTTACATTTAGAAGTGGTTCTCACTTAACAACCATTTGTTCATCAACAGTTCAAAGTTATGGCAGTGCTGAATGAATGAATGAAGTTATGACCATTGTAATGCTTTCAATGTAATCAAAATTCAACTGTTTGGCAGCTCACCTGTACTTACAACCACAGGGGTACTTCAGCATCCCCACCTATCACTTATCCATAACATTCCCATTTTGACTGCCATGCAGTCCTCTGCCAACCCTGCTTCCCCCTGGCACTGACCCCCATCTCACGTTTGCCATTTTTTCCTTCCTCCTCCTGCTGATCTAGGATTTATGTGCTGGTTGAGGGTACGGTTCTGGGATATGCCTCAGCAGAATGTATCTATTGAAGGAAGCTTGCTGGGCTCAGCTGGCAAGGAGGCAGCAGGATGGAACAGGTGGTGGAGACAGGGTGGCATTGCAGAGGAAAGTGCCTTGTCTTCTGCCACCAGCATGAGGAGCGATGGCTCTTTAGGAGTGCGTCCAATGTGAGATGCAAAGCCATGCTTTAAATGGCTTGTGGGCTCTTCTCCTTGCCCTAGTGATGGAACACAAGGCTCTTCCTCTGACTCTTTCCTGCTACCGACTCCCTGGTCAGGCCCAGCAAGCCCCCTTCAGCAGACAAGAGTTCACCATGTTGCCGTATTGCCACATGCCTCCCGAGACTGTACCCCTACCATTAGCTGGACCTTAGGCCAGCAGCAGGAAGAAGACGATTGTCAGCTGCAGGCACTAGTGGCAGAGTACATACAAGGCAGACAAATTGGCAGAGACGTAGTAGAGAAGTTGGGGGAGTTGAAGCAGAAGTGAGTCGGACAAAACCCAAGAAGCGAGAGATCTTTGCCTAATGACAGCATGATCCTGGCCTAATCACTATAACTGGGACTACCGGAACCACCATTACTAAGTAGTGTAGGCATATAATGTTTCACCTAACAATGTTGCACCTTCACTTAGCACTGGAAATTCTGGTTGAAATTAGGGTTATTAAGCAAGGGCTGCCTGTGTTCATTCCATTAAATGTGTAGTGAAAAATTTGACAGTGTAATTTGCCCACTAGGAGCATGGTAAATTCTTGAAGCAAATGTAAAATTGTCAAAATGCTTGCTTTTGTGTAACATCTTAATAATAATATTGCCATAGAAACCCCTGTATTGCAGAGGTTGTAATTTGTTTTTCTTTACTTTTAGGCAAGATCTAATAGGATGATGATTCACTACCCGTGTATTGTGTCTTTGTTATTTTGTATATAAATTAGAGGTTTTTGTTGCAATTGTAGGGTGTAAATCCTTCCTAGGCTGATCTTTGTCATTTACCCATCCATTTAATTGGGCTTTTTTTACATTTTGAAGTTAAAGCTATTCATTTAGAATAGTTTTTGGAAGCCATTTTTTCAGTCACTTTCTCAGATCTTTGGATTTTGGATGACTGAGAAATAATGTAAATGCATACTTACATTTGAGAGCAAAAAAGACTCTTAAAGAGATGTATTGATATTTAAATTTCATAAACATTAAACTTTAGTTGACATGTTGTCGTCTAATCTCAGTAATCTTCCTTACTCCAAGTGTAAAGATGAATTAAAAAAAAAGCAAGTTACCCTAGGGAAAACTAGGTAGTACTCTCTAAATCGAAGCTGCTGCTCTCTTGCTATGTTATGTGGATCTTAGAACCATACTACATTTGTAAATGCTGTAATAAAGCATCTTCTACATTATATTTCCTTTTTATATGTAGTTTGTAGAATTGCATCAAGATGGCAGCTTACCCCTGGACCTGGATCCTTTGTGTAAGCATGAATGTGTTCGGGTAGTCCTCGACATATGACCACAATTGGGACCAAGATTGTCATCATAAGTTGATGCTGTTGTAAAAGCAAGGCCATGAGACTTAAAATGACAAACCAACACTCCCTGTTGTGGTTGTTAATTAAGAATTGCAAGTCATTAAGCACACATCTACCCTACCCCAATCTAAGCCATTCCAGACTTAGTCTTTCCCAACCTTGACCTTCAGTAAGGTAAGGGACTGTCTCCAACTCCCTCATCTGCCTATCTCTGCCCTTTGATTGCCTTGCATCCTGGCTTGCAAGGTACCAAACAGTCCCAGAACCATGTGGCTCTGGGGTTGCTTACCATATCCATGAAAGTTCGAGTCACCTTAGCCCAGTTCTAGTTGCAGTCGCCATTACCACTCTGCGTTCTTAGATCCCTCCTGCCTGGTGCTCCATTGCCCCACTTCACCTTTGCTGAGTTTTTTTTCTCTCCCTGCTAATAAGGTCTATCCAGCCTGGGCTGAGTTTCAGCTGCGGAAAAAGAAAGATGAAAGTAGTTCCTGAACGACAGAATGCCTCTTTGCAAAAAAGCTTCTGGAGTGCAGAACCCTGAAGTGCTCCTTTGGGCATGAGTGCCCTGCCCACACACTATTCAATCAGTCTCTGTTGAGCCTGCCTATCGCTGCCCTGATTCTTTGTCTTCAGTTGTCAAAAAGAGAAACAAACAGCCTTAACCATTTTAAAGCAAATTTTGTTCTGTGCACCTTCCATCCTACCTGCATTGGTCTGGAAAAGATTACTTCAGAGCACTTTAGTCCAGGGGTCACCAACCTTTTGGACCCCAGGGATCCCTAAATTCATAATTTTAAATTCCATGGACCACTAATATGATTTTTTAAAAAAGATAAATAGTATTTAGTGCAATATAAACAATGCAAATAATTTTTCTGCGGACCAGCAACATTTTCTCATGGACCACCAGTTAGTGACTATTGCTTTAGTCTTCAATCAGCTGAGCTAACATTGGCATCTATTCATTTTGTTCTATTCTCATGCCAAACTTTGTACTTTCCCATGCTTTGAACATTCTCCAGCTTGCCACTTTATCCAACTATAAGGTTTTTTCCAGACATCAAGAAAGCAGCACAACCACAGGCAAGAGAAGCATGTTGGAGATTAACTCTTGCCCTGCCAAAATCCATCTGGTCTACCATTTGTTTGCAAGGACAGTTTCATTTCTAGTGTCCTCCTCTTCCCATTTGTTTTCTAATCTCAATCTGAGGCTAGTCTTTATGAGTATGGAAAAGAGGAGGTTTTGACACAGTGCACTCCAGGAACTTTTTGCAAATGGCTATTTCAGTGTGCTGCTGCTCAGAGATTGCTTTTGGCTTCCCACAGCATACCTTATCAACAGTGAGAGCAAGAAAAATGGTGAAAGTGAGCTGGGGTGGCAGAATGTAGGTTGATTGAGGTCTAGGAATGCAGGGTGGCAGGAGCAGTTGCACTAAGCTGGAACGCTATGGTTTCCCAGGGCATTGCAAGCAGTCCCAGAGTTGTGTGATGGTCTGCTTCCCATCCCACAAATGCAGGACATCCAAAGGACAGAGATGGTTGGGAGATAGGTGGTATGGGGAATTGGAGCACCTGCACGATTGTAAGTACAGGTTGGCTGCCAAGTGTCCCAAATTCAGGTATAGGTTGCAAGTCCATTTTTTTCAGCACCGTGGTAAGTTTGAATGGTCACTGAATGTATGGTCATAAGTAGAGGAATATCTGTTTGGAAAAATACATTCCAAATAGTATTTATTAAATTATTTATTTATTTATATAATTTATATGGCTACCCATTTTACTGAAGTGACTCTTGAGTGGTAAACAGAAATTAAAACCTCCAATATTTAAAATCAAAAACCTACACTGATAATGTTATCTACTTTGCGTAATGAAAAGTCTAGAAGAAAACAACCAAGCTTAGAGAGCACCAACAACCCCTCATTTCAACCCTCATTACAAATAGGCCAGCTATTGTCCCTGAAAAGGGGAAAAAAATAGAGAAAATGTAATACTATCAGAGAAGACATTCAAGCAATTGACCTTGAGTTATAAAGAGATTTGCAAAAACAGACTCTAATCTACATTATCTGTTTTCTCAAAGGACTTTTATGTGGCTTCTTCAGCATTTCAGTATCCTAGTGCCAGTGAACTCTAAGAGAGTTCTTGAGATAAGAATTTTAAGTGTACTTTAGTTTATCAAGATATTGTAAATTATCCCATTGCTTAAGAATATATTAAAAGTTTAGAAACACAGACAGTTGGTCAATCTTTGAGTACATGATAAAACCAAGCCATTTGGATAATGTCCCAATAAAAGAATCAGAAATTTGGAGTCCACATTAATAACTGTCTTACTGTCTCTCTTTAAAATATGTTTCAGTGTTCTGCTCAGCAAATTATAAAATTTATATCCTTGAATCCACTTAAATTCCATAGAAGCAAAATTAAAAACCCTATAATGAATTACCAGAAATTAACTGGCTCCTGGAATCCATTTCTTATATGAATATTGTAATATTAAGTAGTTACAAAGCTTCTGAAATGAAGAAGATTGTACAGCTTGTTAACATATTTCTGTGCAGCTAAAAGTTGAACTGCTAATGACTTCCAGGATTGGAATGTTTGAGAATGGAATAAACACAGACTTATTATTTACTTTATTTTCTATAATGATTCTGTGTTCTGTAATGCCATTTTAACGCCATAATAATAATCATAGTCACTGGGAACAAAAGCCAGCACGCAACAAACTTTCTGTGTTCATAAGCTACTATGAAATTGTTCAAAAGATATCACAGTGCTATAAATACTCAGGTGTAGGGTAGACTAAATACCACCGTCGGTTCATTCTTTTGAGCACATGGTGTTCAACAGGCCATGCCATAACTTTGCCCCGTGTGTCTGCTCTTCCAACCCTATTATTCTATATTTAACAAAATAACATTTTTATTCATTGGAATTTAACTAAAACTCTCCTTGTGATCCTGAGGCTACTGTCTCATGAAGAGAAAGTTCAGCAAAGTCTTACTGCTTAGTACAGTGAACACTGACTTTGCAAAAGACTTGTACACAAAGATTACATGTGACAATGCCAGGGTACAATACTCTCACTCTCTTTCTCACATTTAGAACAGTGTTTTTCAGTTTCAACAACTTTAAGATTTGCTAAACTTCAACTTCTAGAATTCCCCAGCAACCCAGCTGTTTGGGGAATTCTTGGAATTGAAGCCCACACCTCTTAATGTTGTTATATAGAACAAAGAGGGCTGCCCTTATTGTTATTACTGATGCTATTATTTGATACTAGGTGAGAGAGATGGCTGCTACCACTTTGGGTGGTTTGCTCCAGTGCCACTTCCTGGAGATTGATAACCCTATGCAGACTCATTTTGAGCAGCTCTGTAAAATGAGACTTCCAAAGAGAAGGAAACGAGACCTCAGTACTGTAGTGGATACCATTCCCCCTGCAGGTAAGGAGGAAGTTCCTTTAGGAAGGTATAAATCATGCTGAATGGATTTGTCGTGGTGGGTGGGGGTCTTACCTCAGCTTTCTGTTTCTGATTACTTACTTTCCACTTTTCTGTGCATAACATTTGAAAAGTATCTGTTCTTCCAAAAGAAAGTCAGCCAGTTATTTCTGACATACAATGCAGTCTAGTTCACAGGAAAGGGTGCATTAGAGATTTTCATTGGGAAGAACAGGGAGAAATCTGAAGCTCCCTAAATAATGGAAACTCAGAATGACAGTTGACATGACTGAGCTGCATTGAATTTAGGTCAAACCACAAAAGAAGAGTGGATTCTGCAAGGGAACTAAATCATGTGGCAGAAATAACACATTGCAGGCAATGCAGCACATCTGCATTGGATTAGATTGTAATAATTTTAAATGCACAATTTAACCTATGCTTTAGAAATTACAGGTAGTCCTCTATTTACAACCATTAATTTAACCATGGTTTGAAGTGGTGGTGGCCTCAGAAAAGTGACTTACGGCTCCCCTCAAAGTAATGACCCTTGTACCACTCCTGTAATCACATGATTACATTAGGTAATTTGCAAGCAGCTCGCATTTATAAAAGTTGCAACCTCTTGCAGTCATATAATTATGATTTGCGACCTTCTTTGCATCCCTCTATAGTCCCAAAAATCTGCTCAATGAAATTTAAAGAAAACCATGTAAATGTGTATGCGTGACAGTGATTTAAAGGGCTTCAGAAAAAAGGAGGTAGAAAATCCACTCCTCCGTACCCTTTTCTCATAGAAAGAGCTTGTCTCTTATTTGTGTCAATTGAAGACTCCTGTGCTGCCCCATGGAAGAATTACCAACTTTTTTTCTTTCAGATTTAGTTAAACGTCATGCTGGCGTGCTTGGACTTAGTGCATGTATTTTGTCCAGTCCATATGATGTGCCCACGTGGATGCCTCAACTTTTGATGGATCTTAGTGCGCATCTGAATGATCCTCAGCCTATTGAGGTATGATTCATTTGATCAGTTGTTGGACTTCTTATGCTGAAGCTTAGCCTCTTAAATGACTTCTTTTTTTGAGCAGAAGTTGTTTAGTCTACTGCTTAGAAAATTTATGTTATAGGTACTGGCTATTTTGTTTTGTTTTAACCAAATGTTAGTAATAAAGATCAAAACAGAAATTATTCAATAGTACCTTTTTAAGTGGCTTTTTTGCTTTTTAGCTAGTTAAGAAACAACCATTTACAGAGCCAGTTTGGTTTGATTCTGATAATAATCTCTTAGTTTTATTTTATGCAAAAAAGGGTGTGTGTGAAGAATAGGAATAATCCTCTCAAATAAAGCAACACAGTACTAAACAAAAACTAGTTGTACATATCTATTAAACTTTTGTACAATTAAACTGTACACATTTAACAATTCATTGAATAGAATAAAATATATTTGAGCTAATATACACAATTCTTAAATCACTATATATAAATAATGTTTCTTTTCAAGTTTAGGGTAACAGTAGCAAGTATTTCAAATTATGAAATTTTTGATTGGTAGTGTCTCTATAACCTAAAACATTTGAACAAAATTCTGAATAATATATCTACACTTACAAATCTGAATCATAGCTTTAAGAACAAGACAGTTTATAGTTGTTTTAAATACATTGCCTGGATATCTCTCTGTTATTCTTCACACAGATGACAGTAAAAAAAACATTGTCCAATTTCCGGAGAACTCACCATGATAACTGGCAGCAACATAAGCAACAATTCACTGATGACCAGCTGCTTGTCCTTACAGATCTTTTGGTATCACCATGCTATTATGCATAAAAGGGTGAGACTGTGTTGTAAAATCTGTACCCTTGGGCTATCTCGGAATGGTCTTCTTGATATCCAGCTTGACATAGCAAAATGTCACCTTTCAAACAGTGCCTTGTAATTTTTAGACTCATTAAATGAAACCAATACTGTCTGGCCTTTTCCTTCCTTCATATAAGAATCTCTTTAGAATTCTCATTTAAAAATATAAAATTAAAAATTATTACCTTTTTGACTTAAATTGAAAGAATATAATCAAATTGGGGCATGTATTGAATATGGTGTCAAAGACATTAAAACATAATTTTTGCTATCCCAAAGGTGCCTTTCAAAAGGCAACTGGATTTTCTTGGGTCTTTTTTCCCCTTGAACACATTTCACTCCTTGTCCTAGAAGCTCTTCAGTTCTGACTGAATGGTGGGGGATAGAAGAATTTATATTCTTTGCTGTCATCTGGTCCTTAGTACTCTAAGAGTCGTTGAGGGCCACTTGGAGATTTACTTGTACCCACAGGGTCATCTGAATCAGCTTGCAAATGGGTGTGGAACCTTCTTGGGACTGCTGGAAGGACTGTATGGTAGAAACCAAGAAAGTCTAGTTGCCTTTTGAAAAGCACCTTTGGGTAACCATGATCTGGATGATTGAGAATCTCCATAGATAACTTTTGCTAGTTTTCCACTATATTATCTTGAAATCAGTTTACATTAACCTTGCATTATATTTATTTTATGTGATGATAAAATGGGGTTCACACTATATTTACATTTTATGTGAGTGTCAGCTTTAAAATTCAGCTGCCAGTGAGACTAGTATGGATGATATTTTGACAGCACTGCATTGTGTTTGTGGTAGTAAACAGGATGTGACCTTGATATAATGAAAAACAATCGCACTGATTTTACTGGCAATCTGGTTCACTTGTTATTCTCTTAATACAGAGGTTCTTAACTCAAATGCAGCCCCACAGGGATCTCAAGCAACTTGGAAAGGGGTCATATTTTTTTTTAAAGATTTGCACAGGTAAAGTTGGAAGAAAAGGCCCAGGTAGCATTGGGAAGATGACAAAACCTACGAATCTAGTAATCTGGAAAAGGGATGCATCAATCAAAAAGTTTTATTTAACTCATCACTTTAGCTCATGAACAAATGTGTTCACCATTCAAGGGATGATGGTATTGCAAAGTTTGAGAATCCTTACCTTAATGAATTGCCATGTGTAAAATATTTTCATTGATCTGGAACCCCAGAAGAAGAACAAGAAAAGAGCCTCATATGAGGTCACAAATTGGAGAGTTCTTGCTTTCATGAACTTTGAATTGAATAGAGAGACCTGCTTGCCATTGTACAGAACTGGTTTACGATCATGATAAAATTTATCATTTTAGTAAATAAATCTCAATTAACTTGGTTTGTAAATACATAAACTCATATGTTATCATTTATTTATTATTTATTTTCAAGGCTTATAGGTTGTATACGTGGCTCTAGTCAATGAACTACTAGCATAAACTCCTGAAATTCGTAATTTGGGTAAAACAAATACACACACATACACACAGAGTCAAAAATTAAAGTCAGAAATATATAGTAGAAATATGTGCCCCTGGAATCAAACCACCTAAAGACTATTAAAATAGTATATAAATTATTTTGATGACAGATTTCCATTCCAGACTCCATGCTTAAAACAGGCAAATGCCCTTGTTCTTGCTAAAGATAGATTGGCTTTTGTCATTTTCAAATTATCCATCTCTTTTAGGGTCTCAGAAAAATTAGAAACTGCTTCATTTCTGTAAAGATAGAGAAACTTAAAATTTAACTTTTTAAATATAGAACCCTTTTGGATTTGATAATTCAGAGGCTTAAGTTTGGAAACCTTTTTAAAAGTGCATATAGTATGTCCCTTGAAGAAGATTAGATTTCTGTTTAACTGAAGAAAAAGGCTCTGGCATAGTAACAAGTCTCTGCATGAATAAGAGAATTGTAGTTTTCTTTTTCATCCATTCATGCAAGTGTCTTGTATTTAAGATAAATCCTACCTTATGGAATGGCAAATATCGCAATTTTTCTTTTTCCTCTTCTTATAATTTTCAGATTTAAGATTATTTCTTATACAAAGGATTGTTTATTGATATCAGATGAATAACTGGGCACACAACCTATAAGAATATGCATGCCCTACTCTTCATAGTACCCTTGGGTATAAGTGTAGATAGTAATACCACCCCAATTTTTAAAAAAGATTTTTACTTTCTTTTTTAGTTTACATGCAAAACCAAGCTATGCAGTGCTTTGTGCTCAATTCTCTTTCAAATCTTAGCTTTTAAATCCATACTATTAATTTTTATTTCATGGCCAGATTTTCAATATCCTTCATCCAGGTACTGAACTTTAACTTTCAATGGTTTTGTAAGTGGCAACTTACATTTTTCCAATTTAGGAGAGCCCATGGACAATAACAGATATTTGCTATTGTTTTATTTCATGTATATATGTTAATACTGAATGGTTAAAGACTTTCAAAATACAGTGTAAAATGTTCTGTATTGATCCTCCCACCTTTCCTCATTCACTCTATGTCTCCATGCTGGAACAGATATTTAAGTTGCATTAAAATGCAGAAGTACTGTATCTGTCCCCACCAAAATCCTTTTTGGTCTGTACCTTTGGTGGCTATTGACTCACTACTTCACAACATGTTCAATACATGTTACATACATGTAAAAGATTGTATAAATTGTAGAGGCATTGCATTGACAAAGTACTGTATAGTTTGCAAAAGTTTTACATAATCCATTTGTGAGATTATCTTGTAAAGATTCACACTTTTCAATGTTATAATACTGCTTTAGCTTTTGTATCCAATTCAAATGCCAATTTCTTCTGGTTTATAATATTGCTGATTCTCATTAATGAAATTATTTAGTTTTGGGTTTAATATTCATTTATCATTAGTGAATGATTTTTTTACCAATATTTTTCTCTTGCTACCATCCTAAGTAATGGTATATTTTAATGTATGGTAAATAATAGAATTGAAATCTCTCTCCCATTTAAGAAAACAAAAACAACACAAACTTGAAAAATACATTCACTCTGTATCTTTTTCTTTGTGAAAAAGGAATATAATATGCTTTTAAATCATCTGCCTGTTGGGAAAGCAAACATGGCAGTGTAACCTGGACAGCATGTCCTGAGAGTCAATGAAGAAATAACATGAATAGGGTGGTGCCAAATGCATCTTCTTACTTTAAGTTGTGTACTTAGTTTAAAGCTGAATAAATTAATTGTTTGTAAAAATGTGGGTGTGCATGCCATGTTTATTGTTCAGTGTATCCTCTCAAGTAAGTGGCTTCATTTAGGAGGGGAGCTAACAATCTCTTAACAGGGATATTTGGGATCTAATCTAATCTCTTGAATATAAATGATGGGTTGCTTGCTTTTAGTTCTGAAAGGACATGAGCGCTTGGGTATTAGAGAAGTAGATCCAGTACTTTAAAAGTTGTATTGGTACTCTTCATAAAAGTGATTCAATCAAGAGAAGTTTGGAAACCATGGTATGGTGTGGCTTATGACAGTGATCCTCAACCATTGCAGCTTGGTGGCCCAGGGGCGGGGGGAAATAGGGGAGCCAGGCTGCGTAAGCAGATGGCTGATGGACATGTGTGCATACAGCTCAACTTAAGTGAACGATGAGCCAGCGTGCCGGGTAAGGAGTGAGTGGGTGGGGAGAGTTCCCGCGGGCCATGTGGGCTGTGCAGCCTTGTGTTTCTGCACAGCCTGGATTAAATGCTTTGTGGAGGTGCTCTGGGGGTGAGATTTCTCTGCGGTCCACCAAAATTTTCTCATGGCCTACCAGTGGGCTACAGCCCACCAGTTGGCGGCTGCTGACCTAGAGGACAGTTTTATGTTGAGCACCTGTTTGTGATCTGAATGATGTTCACAAAATTTCAAACTATATTATTTCTCAAGACAAGAACAGGACCTCATTTGGCCTAAGAGAGAACCTGGCAAAACAGATCAACTTTGAAAAAAAGATGGAATTCGTCAGAGCTGCAAAGAAAGCCCAAATTTCACCCAAGCCACCTTATGGGAGACTCAAGTGGTAGCTCATATGTTGGCACCTGCTCTAAGTCCTCTAGTCACATGACCAGAGGTGACATGACACACCCACACATCCCCCATTCTTCCTGGTTCTATATTCAATCACAGATGCACATGAAGGGAGAACACCCATACCTGTAACATGCAACATGTTGCTTTATTATACATAAGAAAATATAAATGGCTGTCACTTGCACTGCTAGAGCATCCTACCCAATTTAGGTCTCATATTGGTTTCCTAGTACATTGCACCTAACTTTATTAAGAAAGAGATAGCCAGGTTGCTTTGTATCTCTTTTCCTTCAGCTAGAGCAGTGGTTCCCAACCTTTTTTTCGCCCCACACCCCTAAAGAAATTTCACTCAAACCTCGCACCCCCTGAAATAAATAATAAATAAAAATGCCAACATATAGCCAATATCCTATTATTTACCTGGACTTTTCTCGCACCCCCTGGAATATCGTCTCGCACCCCAGGTTGGGAACCCCTGAGCTAGAGGATCATCTACAGGATGGACAGTTTTGACTTGAAAAGGTATAGCTTGTATTTAATAAAAATAAAAGAAAAAAGGCTTGCTTTATCTCCCCAGAAAGCTTTGGGACAGTTTCTGTCATGTCTGATGTCAACATCCATCTAATAAGGTCTGTATCTAAAAGCCTCCCTAGCACACCAGCTGAGAAAGTAACTTGGAATAGGCACAGCTGGAACAGCCACATTTTTCTCCCACTCACTCATTTTTTTCCTCCTTAACCTTCCTCGATGAAGAATATTTGAAACAGGCGGTTATGACCACTTTGTAAAGTTGCAGCTGATTTAGCAAGTACATTGCTTCGACATTTATCGCCAACATTACTGTTGTTTTTTAAAAAAAAAAATAGGGAAACTTCAAGAATAATACATTTATTGCCCACTCGTTTCTGTGAATTGAAATCCTGCTAGTTATGAGTGAGTATCCGTTTGGCTCTGGGGTATGTCATTCAAAATGCTCGACAATTCACACTCGAGATAGGATGGAGAAAAAGGCCCGGCGGTCTCGGGTAGTTCTGGGTATCTATAAGCAACTGCACCAGCAGATGCTATTTTTTCAGCAGTATCTGCTACCGCCTCTCAGACGCTTGACCTGCCACAATTTCAGAGCAGGGTTTCCCGAGAGGAAAGGAAGGGACCGAGTCAGCTGTTTTCATCGGAACGCGACGTGCACCGCACTCTGACTGCGGCGACGTTTCTGTGCAGTGGCGGGGCTGCACCGCGCTCTTCCAGGCCAGGCGCTTGCGTGAATGTGCCATTGCCGGGCATCCAGCTTTTGGAAACCACTCAGTCACTAGCTCAGGGGCGAGACGCCAGAGCGGTTTCGGTGTCGGCGAGGACGCGGAAACGGACCCCGGAGCAGTGCAAGGAAACCTCTCGGAGGGGAGATTCCTTTGAGGCGACGGTCGCCTTTGACCCCCGCATTGCAAAAAAAGAAGCGCGACGTCATTTCAGCCAGCGCGCGCGGCGAGGCTTGCTGGGCTTGCCGCACCGACCCCGCTCCCTCCCTTTCCTCGGGCCCAAACGCAGGAGGGAGACGACGGAGGTGGGGGGTCGAGCCGGTCTCTCCCGCCGACGATGACTTCACCCTCCGCCAGCCGCAGCCCCAACTGCGACTGTCTTCTGCCCCTGGTGCGG